ATTTTTATTCTTTCACTGCCAGCCAATCGTAACCTAATATTCAACTTAAAGTGAAGTCAAACCCAGACACACACACACGCATATATATATCCACACACTCAGTTCTCATATATATATATATATATATATATTGTGTATATGTCTGTTTATCACCTTCAAGGTGAAAACCAACAACAATATTTATTCAGTACTTAAAAACCAGATTTGGGCATACCGTCAATAAGGTAGTGAACAATATGGTTTTCTTTAACATACTCTCAGTTCTAGTTTTTCTCGCTTAGATCATCGGGGCCTTCGCTGGTTCAATTCGTTTTTCTCGACACTTGATTAAGACCTCCGACGTTACTGCCGGAGTTTTTCATTTTTAAATATATGGTCAAATGCTATGTGTTATTTTACAGCCATGTTAACGAGTACTTCTCTAGTTCATACATCGTCAAAACCATTTCACTTCTTTCTAAAAAATAAATTAAAATTAATGATACCAATAATAATAATTATTATTCGGAGTGAATACACAGAAAACAAAAAAGTGATTGATTACCGCCATAATCGGCGACCCGTACAAACGAAATAGATTGCCGTAAGCCATTAATTGTATCTGGTTGAGCCGCGAGATGTTGATAGTTGAACAAAGGACATTCAGCAAAATATAGCTAGTCGTTGGTAACTCAATCAGTTTCGATGGTCAGTAATTATTGACAAAAATACACAACAACGGATAATAATCGTAACAATAATTTCAAAGTACTATAGTATATGCCAGCCACACAATACGATTCACTTCTCTATCAGATGGTTCTGCTAACTACTGTTGGCGCCACAACCCCTAAATAAGTGGGTGCTAGTAGCTAGTCAATGTTTCTTGATTAGCAACACCAAACTCGACAATTGGCTCAGATCGTTCAGTATCTGAGCCCCGAAGTCAATACAACGGTAAACCTTCTCATAAATCCGACTACCTTATAAATTCAAGAGATCGACAAAGCACTTGTCACCCCACAAACGGCGATTAGTCCGGTCCACATCAGGACAGTGCGGGAGGTTGTCCTCCAACTGCCTATACTATGGGAATGAATTGATTTACGCGGGAGGGTGTAATGGGAAGCATAGTTTTCAAGGATTGTGTTTAACGGAAACTACGATCGCTTTGATGTTGCCATTTTCCGTTTAAGTTACTAGTTTCGTGCTGGGCTTTGCTGTAATGCTGGTTTTGAAGATAATTGCCGTTCTGCTCATTGCTGCCACGGTGTCCATTCGCGCCATGGCGTTGCACGCCATTTCCATTGTGATGCCATCGACAGAGTTTTTGTTTGACGTTGCCACTGATAAAGTGATGGTGATTTTGACGGTGGTGCTGCTTCTTGAAGTGAACATTGTGAGTAACTCCTGGAATTCCATTGCCATTTTGAAGCCGCTGATCCTGCTCACGCTGGAATGGATTTTGCTGCCGATGCTTATTATTCCATCGCGACGCCTGGTTTTTCCACGAGAGCGCCGGTTTCTAATCGAAATTATGTTATCGATAACAACAACAATAATTTTACATTGTTAGAAAAATTGAATCTTTCAGATAGCAGACCCACTATTCACTTTTCAGTTTGAATCTATAACCATTGACTAAAGCAATAACGCAAATTAATTCCACTTTACTCTCTCAATTCCCTTTATAGTACGATTCAATATGTTTAATTGTCTGTAATATTTTCTGACAACCAACAACAGCTATCTCTACTACCTTTTCACCTTCTCAAAAAATGTTTTCTCAATTGTTAGAACCCTATCATTCATTAGGAATGGCGCGCACAGATGAAGTAAGAGATCTGTTCTCGTGAAATGCTACAAGTTTAATTGCTATATTACTATCTAAGAAAAGAGGTAGAGATTGCTTTAATGATCAATCTGAATTTAAATTATTTTAAAGTACTCTTGTTTATTTCGGAAGGTTATGCTTTGATTAATGGTTTGCATTAATTTATACCTTTTCGGTACCTAATGTAATAACTTACAATGTAAATGAAAGACGCTGAGCATACCTTCTTCTGCCGACCCTGATCAATCTCCTCATCGTAAAGCTCCCTCTCATCCTTAGTCTCATGCAAGTTTGCGCCCCAATACGAAAACAGACTTCCGTCACGTTGTCCATTGGTATCACCACCGTTGGTGCTACCATTGGTATTTGACTTTTCTGTTTGACCCTTATAACTTCTTGGCGAGTTGTCGGTGCTGTTTTGATAGACAACCTCTCTCATACCATTTGAGTTGGGAGCAGGCACGCTGCTTCTCTCTGCTTTTCGATACGTTTCATCTGGCTTCGAGCTTATTCGGGTGTTCTGTTGTTGCATAGACGGTGGCATGCGAGGTGTGTATAAAACGGTCGGTATCGATGGTCCATTTCCATTGATTCCCACCATGTTAATTGCCGGTGTAAGAGTTGCTTGCTTTACGGGTGAAGTGGCTTGTTGATGATTCTGACTACTAACCACGCCATTGGTATTGCTATTGTTGCTGCTGCTCTCGTCACCGCCACCATCGCTGTTCGAAAAGCTGGCTTTTAAGCCCCAAATGGCTGCGCCGTTTGCACCTGTGGTAGACGTTTGTGATTGTGAGATTATTATTGTTGTTGTTGTTGTTGTTATTGTTGTTGTTGTTGCTGTTGTTACTGGGCCTGTTGTCGTGGATGTTGTAGTCGTCGGCGAATGTGTCTCTTGCGTCACGTTCCACCCCGGACTAGTGCCATGAACGCTGCTGCTGCTGCTGTTGTTGTTGTTGTTGTTCGTGTTGTTATTGCACGAACCGGTATTGCTATTTTGCGATGAAGAGGAATTCGAGTTGACTGATGGAGTATCGTTCAGCTTATCCACTACCCAGCCGCTAGAGCTTGCTGCGCGAGGTACTGACAGATGTAACGCGCTAACAGCTCCACGCTCTACGAGGTAGAAACAGGGAAACAATCCATCTTTTGGTGAGTAATTACCTTCTTTGCTTCCGTGGTTTTTGTAGTTTTTTCGTTTACACAAGGTCTACCTTAGCCTATGTGTGTCTACCTATAAACCTGTTTCTTTATCCTAGCCCGCTTACTTTATTGTAACGTAAGCGCACTAGGAATTCAGGAGACACAGACATCACACAGAAGTCAAAAGGTCGAGTCAATCACGTTCAGTTCTAAAATTAGTCAAGAACACATGTACTTACGTCTGTACTTGTGTATGTGTGCGTGTTTGACATTTTTATCAATAGAAATGGATAAACTGTTAGTGGACAACCATGTAAATATGAAATGCCACAACCAAGCTGGCTTTATGTTATCGTCGTGAAAACTTACTGAGTGTGGAGCTGTTGTTCGAGTTGCCATTCGAGACTGTATTTAGCCTGTCATCACTTTCATCGCTGCTAGAATCGTCGCTACTGCTGCTTGCATATGGTACCAGGCTTGACCACGTTGCATCACGTCGATGGTTCTGAAGCACTTTTTCGGTTCGGCAGTCCAGCTTTGGTGACAAATTACCAAAGAGTGACTTTCTCTGAAGAGATACGCTTGTGGTGGGTGGGGTTGTTCGGTAGCCATTTCCATTCTCCTTTTTAAACTGTTGAGTTTCGACGCCAGAAATAGTTGAGGCGTCTTCTCTGACCACCGATCCGTTTACATTGGAAACTGTCAAATCTCGACCATCACGGACAGATACGGGACGACCATCATCATCACCACTTGGTTGCGAATTGCTAGGTCCATTTATCTTCAACTGGTGTAGCATTAATTGAAATGAATACGTCAAGTTAGTAAGCAACATCAGTGAGCAAAAATAAGGAGCAACGTTACTCTATTTTTCGTTTTAGTTATTAATTTTATATGTATTACATAACGTCCTTCACATACAGGGTGTCGATTCAAAAAATGATATGGAACACCTACGATTGGTGACTTTAATGCTGCTGGTCCGTTCCCATTAACAAATGGAAGACCTGTTGATTTTTGCTTGCTGAATGTTACTTGAGTTGAATTATTCAATGCGCTAGTTGCTGAAATAGATACTACTCCGTGTTTGTCTGGGTTGGCCTTTTTGAGGACGACAATAGGAATATATTTACTCGGAATTAGTTTCGTGATCTTTAAAGCGTGTTGGCCTGGAGGAGAAATCTGTAAAATATAAAAAATAAACTCATAGATTGATGATACATATACTTTCGAATTACTAGTAAACACTGAAACATTTATACTAATTTTTTTTAGGATACTGGACAATTCCGAGTAATCGTTTCATTATATAGAAAACAAGTATGTTATTTCTAGAGGCTAGTTAGAGAAATGCGACTTACCTTGGCCACTTTGGCCTCTCGGATCGTCGTCGTCCCACTCGAACTTTCCTCATTACCATTTATCACAGCGGCCCTCGCTGGAGAAACCGTGTCAATAGTTCTTGTAGCTTGTCCTTGTACTGTGTAAAATAGCAGGTAGGCCTGCTTTTGAAGGACCTCGCGGGAATCAATGGTTCGCACCTTGTTTAATGGAACGAACAAAAACAACTTGACAATTTAAACACGACTAAATATTTAGATATATAATACAAACAGAGATAACTATAATAACTAAAGATGATGTAAAATATATTTAAAAAAATATATATATATATATATAATGTAAAACGTATATTTTTTATATACGTAAAGAGAAGGATTATTATATAAACGTAATGAACGTATTGTTGTTTTTAAAAGAAACTTAGTAACTCATATGATCTTACCTGACGATCGTTTAGACAGAACCAAGCTTCTGCCCGTCTTTGTTGGCAGTAATTTTTGCAGTAAGCCACATAATGGCCGTCTGTCATAGATTTACCCCAGTGTTCCACAACGCCACTCAATCTGTTGGCGCAGATTAAGCAGTTATTAGTAAAACGCCATCAGAAGCTAATTCCGCTTTGCAGTTTACTTAAAATGCCGCTAACATTTCCTGGAGACAAAATAATTTCTTTGGCTTCTTGAAGTTTTTCTATGGCGTTTGTGGAACAGATCAAATCTACGTACAGAATCTATGGAAATGGTTTATTCATAAACTTATTTTCGAACTTTGGTTTCTAATTTGGAATCGATATCCTCCGATTTAAAAGTACCCCATTTGTGGTCTGTCAGTATTTCCCAGCTTACCAAAGCCATATGAGTTCTAAATTTATTAAAGAACAAGGGTATTTTGCGCCACCCTTTGTCTGCTCAGCATCTTTTTTGGCAATTGTTTGACTAAAGTTGATCACTGCGGTTGAGTCGCTGCTTCGGTTTATAAATTTCAGAGAGCTTCCAGTACAGTAGTAGATCTCACATCATTTTTTGTGGTACCTCCTCCTTAGGAATCCCCGAAGTTTACCCGTTTTTTAACTGTGTGGTGCTCACAATTTTCGCAAAACGCCTGTGGTTTATGTCCGGCATCAGCCTTGTACAGAAATAACTCTTTTTCTGTCGTGCCAGCAGTGATATACATACTTTTGTTTAATCAGTCGCTAATGGCACTTTGAGCTCATAGGGAATACATCTTCTTCCCTTGAGGCTATTGCGAGCTATAGTTCATCATCGTCTACTTCTTGCGGCCGTGTGAAGAGCGCTTTATGGTTCAAATCTAAATCTCTAGTTCTGAATAGCAAATCATCAGATATTGCTCATTTTTTTCAAAATCACATAATCGTGGATGTACTTTTCCAGCTCAAAACTAATGAACACTATAATGCGGATTATGCAGTTTTTAAGTATTATGTTTCAATCGCCCGGGAACAGTCAAAATGTTAACAGTGTGTCAAACGAAGAACAGTACAGAGAAGGAGTGTGTATTAATGTTCATTGGATAACTGTAGATGACGTTATAGATATATATTAAAAAGGTTTACCTGTACAGCGAATTTTGAGCGACACTTGACGTGTCCATGCATGGGCGAAGGTCAAGCGATTCGGGAAATTGGACGAATTGATTGATCTTATGCGAGATCCCATCTATCACATAGAACCGCTTTAGCATTACGACAAGAATCATAGGCAGATTTTTCAAAACGCGTTTCATTGTTGGCCGGGGCGTCTGCAAATAAATTATATCGTCTGTGAAACCTGTATGCGATTTCTTTCTTATGTTTAAGCTCATAAACCATAAAAAAACATTTTAAGCACAAAACTTTCTTAGTTATGAACAGAAAACCAGTCAGATCCTTAAACTTTTTTTCCGAGACCTTTTTTCTATTAGCTCCTGCTTCAGATTGCTACACCTGTGTAATACTGATCAGAACACTAGCAATAGCTAATATTCATCGAACTAAGTTTCATTGATTATTATTTATATCTAGGTGCTTTCTACTAACCCGACTTTGACCACATGCATCACATTTGCTTTTGGGCTCCGAAAGAGTTTCGGTGAGCCCATACTCCATTCGCAGGCGATCCTGTACAGATCGGCGATCTCCATTTACGAGTCCAAGAATAAGCGTAGGCTCTACGACTGTTGATATCGATGCCTCTCCACATAGTGAACAAGCGTACTGTTGTTCTACTAGCGTGCCGAAAAGACCCATCATCGGAGTGTGCTGACGATCCGTTACACCAAAGTATGCCATGTCCCGATCCCACATTGAGTCCAGCACGTAACTCAATATTTCGTCAACGCTCTGATGTGCGTGGATCTTCCACCGGCGAACCGCTGAAACATAGATTTACCAGCATAACGTTTCCGTATTTATAATATAATACCATATGTTCGAGTATCCTTCTAAAATTAAAAAGGAGCAATGTATTCAAGACAAGAAAAAGACACAGATTGTTAGAGCGCTCGTCTACATGAGTACAATTAAATAATAACACATATACATCGCGCCTAAAAAGCTAAATTGAAAAAAGTCAACACCTACCAGTTCTCATCTTGACAAGAAGATCTCGAAGTACACTTCCACTTACAACCTTCTCATTTGGGTTCACCGGCATTTGAGACACACAGAAGCTTTTCAAGAGGCATAAAACACACTGGTCACCTGAAACTCGTAAAAGGCGTTAGTCACTTTTAAGGTCCAGAGCTTTTTGTATAAATAGTATCTTCATTTGCATAATATGCGTAACATCACATATATGTTTCAACTTCAAAGCGATTTTTTCTGAAAGCTTAGAATTTATTTTCTAGAGACTTAAGCAAAAGAAAAAATATGCCAACATGCAGACAATATATCACTAAGATTAGTAGTCAGATTAAGTTTATTTGGTGCACACACTCACTTTTGAAACTCTTACGCCACCCTTGCGTTGATTTATTATTATTATTATAATTAATGAATTAAAACTTGCTGCAAAACACACTGCATAGTAATTAATGCACGACAATGACCAGTACATTAAGAAGGCGACAAACAATGAAATACCTCGTCTGCAAATTGTTCGATCGTGTGCCTCACTGCGAATATAGTTGTAGAACGGTTTGCAATTTGTTAGACACTGCAGCATCGCGTTGAAGTAGCACGTGTTCCCAACATTCGTTAGTCCCACTTGCACTCGGCTACCGCTGTTTCGTAATACGACCGAGCAGACCTAGTGAAAATAATAAAATACTAAATTAGTTAACCTGCAAACTTCGACAAGCGTATGTATTAGCAGCTCTTCATCAAGCGTCCGCAATAACACCGAAATATCTAATTTCCTTTTCCCTTTACAATTTTGACGATTTTAAACAGAATGTAGAGATCAGCATTAATATAATCATGATTTAAACGGTTCAGGTACATTTCCCATGACAATGTATACATAAGATTACCTTTGAATGATTTCCTGGCGATGGTCCATGATCCTGTTTTCGCTGATGTTTTGTGGAAGTGTCTGGTGATTCCTGCTGAAATTCATCTATTATCGCATCCAAAGGCCGTTTTTGCGCTTTATCGGATAGGATAACCTGAGACGTCGTCGGGGAACTTGGTGGTAAGTTCCAACTACTACTTGTGCTAGTCTGCTCGCTTTGTGAAAGTCGTTGATTCGTTGGTCCTACCGAAGACAATGTCTTACAGGGCAGCTTAGCCAACGCATTCAACCAGGGGTCGTTTTGCGGTCCGGCACGAGTGAATGTGATTCCACCAGAGAGCAAACCCTGCACTCGGCTTGAGGTCTCCAGCTACAACGTTAACAGCATATAAAAATCAATGTATAAATATATCCAACTAGCCAGATTTATCCTACTTGGTATATTACATATTTGATCATAACTGCCAGTTTTTGCCAATGGGGAAGAACTCTCTTTAATGTTAAGAACAGGCAGAGATTTTATGAAATGTAAATAATAGAGGAACTCCTTGACGAATATACGGCAGGATCATTCCACACTGATTCTCGACTTGGGGAGCAATCTTAGGGTCGGAAAGGCGAATTGTTTATTGAATATTAATACACTGCGAGAATAGAATGTAACATGAAATCGTGAACTATACTTACGTTCTCGCTGAACGAGGGAGCCTTTGACGGTCCGCCATTGGATGACAGCTTTTTACTAAGATATGAACTAACTAGAGTTTCCATTATTAAGAACTAAACATGTGAGTCTGATAAGCGCCCTGAAATCGGAGAGTTCAGTTGGTGCTCACTGAGAAACAAAAGACGCAAGAAAACAATTTTGTTAAACAAGAGCTAAACACATCCATCAAGGTACTGCTGTTCTTAATAGAATTTATATGAAATATCACTGCTTTAGCAATAACACAGATATTAATTTAAAGGCGTAGGCGTAAAAGTCTCGACACCTCATGAGAAATTTATTAGATATACCAAGTCGCTGGTCGAAAAAGGCTAGGAGCCCCTGCTATCGGATCTTATCTCCGACATATATTTCTAAAGTTTCTGGGAGTAAAGAAAATAATTTTTAACATAATATGCAGAATTTAGGCATCTGAGTAGTTAGCTTGCCCCGATCTTATCAATATGTGTATTCTTTATAATTTTCCAATAGCTAACCACTGACCATGATGCTGTAGTTCCGCGTAATAACTAATTAGTCTGCCAATTAGGTGTTATAACAAGACTCTCGTGCCAGAAACCGGTCTTCTTCAAAAAACAAAGCTGGGATGGCAAAACTGCTCTATTTTTCCTGATTAATTGAAGATGCTAAACCAGTTCATGTTCGCAACGGCAATGACTCCGTATACAGTCCTTTTTTAACCTTTGATAAAATCCTTAGCGTGAATGCCAATTAATAAAGCTATTTAATTCAATTCAGCTGTATTTTTATTAGGGTAGACACTGAGGCTTAACGGAAACCTACATAACTCATTACCATCTACGAAATGCCACCCACGTTATTATAACAATAATAAGTTCGAGCGCTTCCCTATAAAAAACATGAAGATTAGAATTTAATGTTCAACTGATGTATACCATAAAGTATCAGCAGTATTAGCTTTGCTACTTCTCTTTGGACGCATGTCGTCTCGACATACCGTCGACAAGACGATATCTAAGAACTCCGCTGATGAACTATAAGCAATAGAGAGGCACGCATCTTGAGGGAACGTTCACCCTAAAGTCCGTTGTAAAATGAAAGGATTAAAGATCGTCCATCTTTTTTAATCATCCCTACATCTGGACTAACGTAGACATTTTAAACAAATGTTTTCTGAACTCAAGAATCATCTACAATCATAATAGTGACTAACCGACATGTTTTCGTATATTTTTAGCCGGCATATTCACCCTATACATCTGGCTAGTGTTCTTTCATATCTTCCTTCGGAACTGCGTGACTTTGTGGCTGTTTTGCTCTAGTATAATTCACTATAAAATATTCATGATCTTGAAAAGCAAGCCAAAGTCAACTTAAAAGCATCCACCTCGGCTTATGTGGATATATAATAGCTGGTGCAGCAGAGCAACGGAATCAACTATTTCTAGTTTCCGTATCTCCATCGAGGTTTACCCTGTCGTCGACATGTGAGAGCCACAGGTGCTGCGCGCCATCCCGTTGGTCCACCCCATCATATCTGTCCGTTTGTCAGTCGCATTTTACCGTTTGTTCCCTATTCGTTAATATTTACTCGTATCTCGCTGCGTTGTGCCACTTTAAGAGGTAGCTTAACGTGTCTCTCAGCTACTTTTAGCTACTCTTAGGTAGTATCAAGCTAGCGAACGTTGCGTCGTCTCTATTCAGTTGTGTCTCTTTGATACGAATGGTGCTGTGACCGGTGACGGTCGGCTGGGTCGGATGGCCTGGCCTGGCTTGCCTGCCTGCCTGTCTGTTTACTGGTGGCTTGCTTAGCACGGTTTCAGTCGCGTGGCAAACTGTGAAAAGGAAATGAGGGGAGACTGGACTGAACAACAACAGCCAGCGCAGCGTCTGTAGTATCATGAACATCATCAGAGACTATTTTAGCCTGCTAAGGCAAGCTGCCTGTCTGATTAACTGGTAAAAGGTTGTTCCTCTGCAGGGAGAAAGGAACAACGACCTATCGGTGGTGTCCGTGGCTAAGATAGCACCATTTCCAAGACGCTTTGTGCATGCTACAACCGTATACACACATACACACACGCAAACATTGAGCCCTACCTACCTACTTACTAAGTGGTGGCGGGCATCACGGCGAGACTCCAAGGAGAGAACTCCGACACCATCGATGCGTGTGTGTCTCCAAAAACGATCATAATATGCACTGCAACCACATAAACAGACATTTACAGACAATGTCATGCTTGTAACTAAATACTGCAGTATCCTATTGATCATGTATGTATATCTTAGAAAAACATGTGTATCCAGATACTCTGAAGCCAACACAGGAATGATAACCCTGTACGGCGCACCACCAGAGCATACATATAAAATGCAAAAACAGGTATTTACCAGGTATTCATATTATTTATAGGCAAATGCCACACGAACATGTCACAAAGGACAGCTCAATCTAGACTAAACCGAACAATCTTTAACATCGAAAATACAATAACAATTGTCCTTTCGAAGGTAAATTATTATATCCAGAAGCCATAAAAACCGTTATATTTTTTTTAAATTAAACCAAATACTCTATACTGGTGATGTATTAGCACTTGTTCAGCACCCCATATAAGCGACCAAGTAGATTTTGCTTAATGACATAAACAGTGCCTTACTCGGGTCAACTGTTTAGGTTATGATAACTATCGAAAACCATACAAAGTTTATCAAAATAATTGAACCTCGGTTAAAAGTCGTCATAACTATCCACGAATTTCACTTTGCAGTTTATGAAGCAAGTTTTACGCAATAGCTTGCGTATGCATAAATTAGATTCTTGTCCAAATGATGATCGAAGTCCATCTGCTACCATCGAACCCATATCGCCCCGTTTCTGCTCCCCGTCAAACTCTCTATTTACTACCGGTCAACTGCTCTACTACGTCAGCACTGCGCATCCTTCGCACTCTCTCACACGGCGTAAGACAAAACAGTTCAACTCAATGGAGCTTGAAATTGTTATTTTATATTATAATTGCTTATTGAATTGTCGTTGATAAAAACAGCAAATATGTCTGCATGAGTATTATGACTAAAATTAAATTTAAATAACCACCCTAACGACTTTTAAAGTCACCAGCCAGTAGTCGTTTCACATCCCGTTGCACTTAATTGCCGCAGGCCAGGAAAGTCTACACACGACTCGACGAGGGTTGCTATGGCCAAAAAAAAACACTGCACGTTCTATGTCTGTAGACCAGTTGTCATAATCATTGTCATCACTAACGTCATTCTTATTAAATTGCCACATAGTTAACAAGCGGCTCAGCCAATACGGCGCACTCAAAGTGTAGAATAGTCAAGGCCGGTGTTTCAATTGGCGCACGAATGCGGCCCAAGCGGCTGCCATCTATGACGGCGCGCTCCTTCAGTGTTGCTTCGTCGATTCGATTCTTGTCTTCTCTCGTTGTTGATCGCCACCGTACACGCTGATCCCACGCTTGTTTGCCTTGCCAGTCGAATTCGTCGGCATAAGCAAAGGAGGGAATACTGATCCCGTCTGCAGACAGGATATTACCAAACACCAGCACCAGCAGCAACAATAGGAGTGAGAAGAGCTCACACTTTTCTCTCTTTTTTCACACTTTTCTAGGGCTAAGACTTTTTTCACTCACTGCTATTTAGCCTGTCAACGAATAACGAAAAAAAAAAATGGGCCAATCAGGTATTATTCGAAGGTACACAGATTCAATGAGTAGATCAGACAGAAGGAACGATGTCTGCCTGTTTATTGTGTACTTGTATAGCTGTTTGCTAGTTTATGCATATCAGTCGGCGCATCGGCAGCTTTTCCCACATGTAGCGTACACATAAAACAAAAATATACTCACCTTGCTCAAGAAGAGCGACGGACATTTAGAATGTGGTGTAAATCGGCCGCCATCTGCTATTCATTGTACTCGGCGCTATATATCGGTACAAAAACACCACGCGGATGGTACACTCCTGCAACCCAGCCAGCGGAGGGCAGCTGTAAAGAAAGAACTGAAATCCGCAAAGCACGCACGCGATATCGCAGACTGCTGCTGCTGCTGCTGCTGTTGGGTTTGCCGCCTATTGTCGGTCGTTTGCCGTACAGCTGTGGGGTTTGATGTTCTCGCGTCGCCAGCCACAATCGAAATACGCCAAAGGCACGCGCCTCCACGCGAACTCACGCATACATTCAATAAAACACTCTTCAACTCAGTACTTGCGTTGCAAACAAAGGAACCCAACCATGCAACATTAGCACGAAAATGCTTATCGGCAGCCGCGGCGGTGATAATCTGACTCCTCGTTGAACAGCGCTTGTTGACGTTGTAATAACGAGACTGTGTCTGCCGACTACACGAAATAATGTTTATATTTGGCGACAACCAACTAGCTGTGTCTCACGGTGACCAATTGTCATTGTTAGCACCACACTAAGTAGAATCTATGTAAATCTATATAGTAGATACCAGACGGGCGGCAGCGCACAACTATTACATGCGTGTACGGCGAGCAGCGTCTAGCAGACGTTATTTGAGCAAGCAGAAAAGACGAAATACCAAGCCAACATCACCATTGTACAGTACAAGTACGACCAACGCCGTTGCTGCACTCCCATCAGCAGACGAAACCATAGCGGCGGCATCATCATCGTCATCATCATAGTTGCCGCCAGCACAATCACTATGGCCATCGTCACGGGACACAACAATAACACAAACGCATACGAACAACGATTGAGCTGCAGCCTATCAGGGTTTAGCGTTACTCTCTCATTCTTGCTTTGACTGTTCCCTTTCCCCTAGCCGCTCACGTGTCCATCGATCCAGACGGATGAGCTGTTGCACACCGCCGACTTTGGTCTCATAGAAAGCGATTAAAACTGGGATAGGCCACGAGCAGTCCATCATCAAAGAATGACAACTAGAGGGATGCATCCATGACAGTCATTGTTGGATAGCGACATACGACTAATTCTCGTACACCGCCCGTCCATTTTGCTGATATTACGGAGAGACATTAAAAACCATCAAGGCGGAGTGGATAGGGCGATCGGAATATTGCTATATCTAGGTTGGATCTTTCCATCGAGCTCAAGCTGACTGAGTGCTGTTGTTTGTTTTTTTTTTATAGCCCAAGATCCGTTCCGCAAACCGTTCAAGTGTTTGCTACTTTTCGTTTTCGCTTTCTATTTTTAGGACGCCAGCCGGCTAGTGCCATTGCTCTTTAACTCACTCCGGCCGTCCGGATGCTTGGCTTGCGCGAAGCACACCGGCGCTATGCGCAACAACAACACCCCCGCCATGAACAGCTAAAAGAGCCGACCATCAAATTAAGTGTCGGACCTGCAACAGTCAGACGGACATCACGTCTACTGCAAAGACACAGCGGCAAATATAACTACGACAACAACAACAACAACAAACTCAGCGACGACGTCGTCGTTACCCGTCGATTGTTGTACGGCATAAAAAGAGACATAGTAAGAGAGTGTATACTGTGTAAAAGATAAATGATTCAATTGTGTGAACGATTCTCCGCGGTGTTGTTAAAAAAGAAACTGTAGCACGGTTCCAATAGGACACCAGAAGTGCGACGTTTGCCCGCCATTGGTAAGAGAAACTCTAAAAGATGCTGGTTCGAGACTGTTCGTTATTTGAATTGACTGCTATGCTATACTATCATGAAGGCTAACTTGAATAGCTGAACTGTAAACGGATTTCTTTAAATCGAACTAGCATCAGAATACACGGAGGAAATCACAGCAGTTTACATCAATTTATAAAAAAATCCACAAGTGTACAAGTATATTTAATAGTAACGATGATAATTGGCGAACATCTGTGGCGGCATAATGTGTTTCGGAGAAGTATTTGTCAGGTAACATATATATGTATGTATATATATATATATATACACATATATGTACATTATACATGTGTTTATTATATGTGCGCAATAAACGTATAAACGGCCCGATCGTCATCTGCATTTCGTAAAATCGAAAAGGTTCGAATCCCTATATCGGAAATACTTCGGCAACAAACCTAACGTTGTTTCCATCCGAGGTTATCCTTGCCTTACACAGGGTCAAAGAAGCGAAACGCAATTTAATTGTCGTGGATCGTGTTTGAGACCGAAGCTACACACGGTGCCAATGTCAGCGTTAACAAAGAAAGCCGTTATTGTTGTTGTCTTTGTTGCTGAGATTCATACCACAATACCAGAGCTTAACAACTTCTTACGTACATAGATAATTTTATACACAAGAGAAGGACGACAAAGATCTGATTATTTCGTTAACCAACTTGATGCATTGTGTAAATGACTAGTTTATTCTCACTGCAAAAAGTTGCACATACTCAAGTAGTGAAAACACAGTAAAAAGATTTTGTAACTTACTTTTTGTAAAAGCACGCTGTATTGTCCTTGTAAGCATAGTGCAGTCTATCTGCTTATGTTATTTTCCTTAGGGTGCTACCGCATTTGTATCTATTTGAATTTTTACGTAAAGACTTTTCTACGATGTTGTCTTTCACTTGAATCGTTGACTCTCAATAAAAATACTGAAGACGTTAATATTGGCCTTCAAGAAATTTAATTCAAAAAACAATTGTTAAAAAATTTATTACAGTTTGTTTCTTTGTTATTTGGTGCACACAATAACAAATTATTTAATATATGTCCCTTAATATCAGCTTTTACTGTTCCATTAATTAACACATTTTATCGGAATGTGTGATCCAATATCATGTTGTTTCAGGTATTGGCTTGTCATCTGATAGCTAGGCTGGAAGTTATGGAGTGTCCTCGGGACACAAAAAGTGTCGTAGGAGAAGTTCACCTCATGGAAGAAGACAATGACGAAAATGAAATTCTTGTAGATGCTAACGGTCAGTGGAGAATTTCTTGCTAATGTACTATAAACCTGTTCAAACAGACCCACTTCTCTGAAAGGCTAATGAGGCGGTACTTCTATAAATGTATAAATATGTAAGAAAAAATATCATAAACTTAATTTCGCCTTCAACCAAGCTCAAAGTAGTTAAAGCTCGCAGTGTTCGCCTAAACCGCTTGACATCTTCATTTATTACTGAATATATTTGTCCACTTTATAACAAGAAGTATGACCTTCTGATATTTTATCTCCGTAGAAGAACTGTTACAGGTGAAATTTTGCGTGGAAAAGGATAGTGTTGAATCTACTTTGGTCTATGATATGGTCTTTTCTTTTCTGAGTTCTCTTATACTATAATGCTTCATATGACAAGCAGTGACTAATGTTTTGAATCATTGAGCCATTCATAGCTTTTTATATGTATATATATAATCTGCGTGCATATTTGTTTCTAACTTAGTCATTTCATTTTAGGTCTGGATATTCCCCCCGGTGAAATATCCGTCTATAAAGATCCGAGTGGTGAATTAGTTCTTGTCGTGCATACGGACGACGCTGAGTCGAGTTCAAAGAAAGCATCCGACCAAGTTACATCTTCTAGCTTCGGGGTCGCTGAAGCAGTAAGGGGTCACACCGATCTCACTACCGTTGATGCGCCGGAAAACAGCCAAAGCGAGGTAGTAGGTAGTGAGGTAGTAGTATTATGATTCTACTGTTCGCGATAAAAAATATAGCTGAAAACGTCAAATAATGACGATGACGTAATTCAAATAATGGCACTTACACAAAGCTCTTATATTCAAATTATAGAGTTCCCAACATTGTGTAACAGCCGTTGAGGGCTTGCGATCACCATCAAGTCAGCATAACGAACACGACGAAGTAGAAGCTTTAGACCAACGTCAGGCTGATCGAACAAAGGTTTGTGGTTTTTTGTTTTCTTCCTTATCTGTAGATATAAAGTGTATTAATATGCCTTGAGCATTCCATAAGACATTTCGCATGAATCTAATATGGTTTGAGTGGCCTTGAGATATAGTCAAGTGTTGGTTTTAAGAAAGGCGTTATTGAAACATAGATGAATGTAGTGTGCTATTATTCATTTTAAAAAACCCATTAGACTTTTACATATATAAAGCTGCTAAATATAAAATCGAAGTATCATATAAGTTTGACTAACAGAGATGTTTAGAAAACCACTTCCACGATGGGTTAGGCGGAAGCTGAATCTAAATGAGACCTGAGTACAGTGCAGTTTTCTGTTTGAACACAATTGTACATGCTATTTAAGTTAACTTGAGTAGCTTGTATAACTTAGCTTTAGAGGAGTAGTTTCAGTGTCAGAAATATTAATTCACGGTGAAGAAATAACCAGCGGAAAACGCTTAAAAATTAATTTAATCCATTTTTGCTCTATCCTAGTCGGATACTTATATGTAAGAATGGGATAGAGCTTTGCGTTTGCCTCTTCTATGTAAAGTATGTAATGCACAAGAAACATTAATTCATATTTAAAATGAACTAGGAAAAACATGAGTACTTTTATGAGTAATAAAACCTGTATAAAACAAATGAGTATATTTTTAGCGAGACAGCCTTACATAGCAGGCAACATGTCATAGCTATATATGTCACATAAGCGCATTCTGGATCAACAGCTTCGCAGTTCTATGAGGAATAACAGAGTTGAGGAATAACAGAGTAAGTTAGATTTTTATCTGATCATGGGGCGTCAACATACAACCGCTGTCTTATTTCCGAGAATCGTTCTTACCAAAAGAGTAGATCGCATGCTTAAGAAATGAACTGCTTAGTCAGGAATCAGCGTTCCAATCGTCCGATTATGGAGGATGATCTCGTAGATATTGTTTAGTTTTACTTTTCATAATTGGTTGACTCACTCAAAGTATTTCACGGTTTGGATATTTATGAAGGCAATCTTAGACCGTCTAGGATATTCTTGGTGTTCCTACGTATCAGCTGCTGTTACTGCGAAGATATGTTAACAAATCTACCCCATTATGTGCATGATTATACTCCAAACAGCGGTGATTCATCCTGCTCGTTGAATTGAACAATGCATGTAAGGCAAAGAAGCAACAACTGTTGTTTGTAGAAGAGTCTCGTCGATTTTGAAATATCAAAAATGTATAACACGTCTGCGAAGCTCTAAAGAACGATGATGATAGTAAATGGTTTACTTATTGTTTTGGTTAACTAGGGGAATGTGCTATCTAAACTTCGTGCCTTATCCTATTGAACCCACCGTCCCATACCCATCATACGACACGCTCAATTTTTATCTGTCTCATTTCACGTATAGATATGAGAATAACTTGAGTATTGTATACCCGCCACCTCCAGGCTGTCCCGATTGTTGACGAACCCATGGAGATAGACAATGACACGCAGTTTCCGGTGGAAACCATGGATTCAGATTCGGCCATGGCAACGCAAGACACTTCGCTTTCTACGGAGTCGCCTACAGAAAATGTCCATCCCGGGAGTGGGGAAGAGATGGGAGAGGTTTTGCAGCATGAAGAAGTTCAGGAATCATTACAGTCCAAAGCCGTTGAGAAGTCAGGGGGTCAGAACGATACTGTAAACGTGGTGTTATCAAATTCGGAGGAAACGATGGCCGAAGGGCCATGCAAATTCGCGGAAACGCCCAAATCTTCGGAGATATCGCGGTCAAGCAAGGCAGCAGACACCCCTGGACCTATCATAAAAGTAGATATATCACTGTCTTCTAAAGAGGTAGAGGAGTATTCGTCGGATGGGGACACAAATACCGCACTGCCGGCTGCAGACGGTGGAAGTCCCACACTAACTAGTGAGGATGGCCACTCCTCACTCAAAAGGGAGGAGGCAAGTGAAAATGAGGTAGTTACCAAGCCGTCGACAGGTATTGAAGTTACGGTCAAGTCAACTACAAGCGATACTGACAAGGCTGCAGGAGAAACGACAGAGGACGATTATCTAGGGCAAAGTAGCCAGCCAGTGCAACGATTTGACGATGATGATAAGGCGACTGCCGAATTACCTGGGGGAAGCTTTGCTCCGCTTTTGATATCGGGGAAACCGGATGAGAATCTGCTAATCAATAACAACAACAATAGAGAAAACAAGGGCCACCCAGAATCGAAAGCTATGGAGGTCAGTATCTTTTTTAAAACAGAAATAATAGGATGACATATGTTTGTGCTTACGGTTAATCCCGAAATTCCTTTCCGCACTTCTTCCTCAACTCCACCCCATAGATAACTTGACCGATGATTGGTACTTGTGTAAATCATATTTTCCAAACCAAAGAAATTGCGCCTAAAAATTGATTTATGCTTAAATGAGAACCAATGACAGTAATTATTTGTGGCTAAAGTAGTGCCCTCACTATTGTTTGTTCCCGTCTAATTGAAATCCTGCACAGTTATATTAACCTTGCATGTTGCAGAAAATATATTGAGTTGCAAAATATCTTGCAGGATTCAGTGCTTACGAGAAGAAAGGAAGTTTTCTATTCCTCGCTGTGAGCGAATAACCAGTTTGGCAAGTACTAATAACATCGCACCGTCATGTTTGTTAATAACAGTTCGTTGAAGTCTGACGGGGGTGGTAACAAACTATAGCTAACCCTTGGAGACGGCTAAGCAGGAACGTGACCACTCACAACGATGGCGAATTAGGTTGTATACTGCGTATTGCCAAAAGAATGCATTAAGGATAAGCGTTTGGAAATGGGTTGCTCACGCTCATATATAAAATTAATTGTGAGCTCGGCAGATACCGAGGATGCTTCCCTAGCCTAAACTGAGGGAAGTAAAAAGGTATTAGGTTAAAAGAGGTTGTAACGATATTTTTAATCTAATAGGTGGTTGATATGTAACTGTATAACTTGTAGATTACACCAAGCAGTGAAGACGCGATGGGGGTTGATGAAGAATCAGCAAACGCAGCTTCATCCGGCGATGCAGAATTATTGGCCGAAACTAGCCCTATATTGATGCCCGTGAGCCACACAGTGGATATTGAGGAGTCCAGGAAAGAAATACCATTTGCCCCTCTGGACCAATCGAGTAAGCAAAGAGTTTTGTCCGGTGTTGCTTCAGATCGTGGTGAGCAAAAGACAGACGAAATTGAAGAACCACCTAAAAAGAAACGCGGAAGGCCACCTAAAAAGCAGCATCAGCGAGGTGAAGGCGATAGGAAAGGACTACTCGATGGGTCGGCAATAAGCGCTTTAGCGCAGTCCCAGCCGGGCAACACCTTTCACATAAGGAAAGCCAATACCGACAACGGTGATAGTAAAGAGGTAATGAAATTCGAAGGATTTAAAGTGACTATTAAAATATTTTCTGATAAAGCAGATACTACAAGTATGTAGCATTGTGGGTTTGGTTTTCTATACTTATTCCGTAGGTTTGTTTTTTTTAATACAATGGTAATGCCGAAAGTTATTTTCAGTTCTTGAGCTTGTTTTCCGGTATAGATTTTTTCGGGTCCAGTGCTGTACAATGGGTTCAACCACCAACGAAAGTCTTCGATCGAATGCTATTTCCGTGTGCATTGTTAGACCACACTTTATAGGTCCAGTTAGAATTGTAGCGAAATCGATCTTAATATCAGTCGCGGAGGCTAATCCTGAAAAAAGTATTTAATTGGAGCAAACCTGTAACTTTCAAATTATGACTCATTGTTTCACGTTTAAGGGTCGGCATAAACAATGTACTTGCTGCACAGATGTAGGCATGCATATGTGTACACGTTTTATCGTGTATGATACAAATCGATAAACAAATTGCGTTTCAATATTTAGGCTCCCCGTCGCTCTGGGCGCGAGCGTCAAGTGAAACGGTATGAGGATTACATAGAGGATAACTGGGACGACGATGGTGAGGACGGCGAAGAGGGCGATGGACTAACGGCTCGGGAACGCAAGGAGTTGGACAAAAAGCTGCGAAAACAACGGAGCCTCAGTGGTAGACTTGGCCATGGGACGTCTCGTAATGCTGCCAGCTGGGTGAAAAAATGCAATAGTGAGTAATAGATAGTATTTTTTTGTCAGGAATTGTTTTATTTAGCAGGCAGTAGTGGACATGACACGAGATAGGTGTGAAAACTTACAATTTTTTTTTATTTTGGGGGCAAAAACGGCATTAAGTATCTACTATAATTAAGTTTGCTTCATCTGCGCAATTGAATGTTTTACTTATCATATCAACAGAAATGTATTATACTGATCCGAAGACTTCGAAAATTCGATCTCGGCTAATTCTAGCTCAAAGCATGTGCAAATTTTCAAATTAATGCTTTTTCTAACACTGCATCTTGTTTTTTAACAATGATGTCAGTAATAATTGGCGAGACTGCCACCAGGGATGGTTCAAAGTTCAAGACTAAGAAGGCGGAACCTGTCCAGCAAATTGAGCAAGCTCCACCGCGACCATCACAGGTAGGCATTTTTTTTATAACTTTTCACTAAACCGATAGTCAGACAAAACTGTAACATTTTTTGAAAAAGTTTACTTCCTACTGTAAAAGTTTTCAAAATGCTTTTGCAATTATAGTATCAGTGTATTGTATCTTTTATCGAGGTTTGCGGAGTACGTTGTGTGCACATTTACGTACCATAAATTTCCTCGACAGTTATTAGCATAACGTTGTAAAATATCTAAACACCAAGTGGATGTTTTCCGCCGCCCCTAGCATTGCATTTAGTAAAAATAAAAAAATTCACACATACTTGTTTTTCAATGTCACTTCAAATCAATTGAACACTGTACATTTAGGACGTTAAAATTCTAACACAAGTAGAACACAATGGACAGTCATGGTAAATAGCATTGTTGGCTTCCTTACAGGCAGTTATTCGATATTATTTGCCCAAGAAAATGGTGGAGCCCGAGCCACCAGTCACACATTGCCGAATTATGTACAGGTGAGTATATATCCGCAATGTCTATGACTGGTTGTATCAATCTGCAAGACTTAATTTTTTATTGGGCTTTGTGATCTCAGAATAAGATATTTCAAAGCCCGTTTGCAGACTGCGTTTCTCGTGCATACTCTTTAGTAATTCTCTTTTGTTCTGCGCTATAGGCCCCAAGATACGTTCGGTGTTGACATGGCACAAAAACGAAAACGAGGCATGCAGGACGACTACACTTGCAGATGCCAGTACTGGACTAGCCGAATTAATAATTACATTCGTCATCTCCGCGACCATTGCCCATTCAGCAAGGATTTCTTTTCCTGGGATGAAGGCATGCTCAAAGAGGTTAGTGCGATTTTTTTTTAAGAACAAAGAACCGTTACGTGGTACATTTGCGAAAAACTTTGTATAAACAATATGGTAGCGTCGAGTCTTCATTAAACTAATTTAATTAGATAATTAAGCTAAATTTTATTTAATGCTTAGTTACTCACTTTATTAAATTAATTTAAAAACATTTCGAAGACGAATAATAATTCGTCTTAGAGGGTTCCAGCGTTTTGTGAATAGAATTGGGCCAATAACTTTGAGAATATAAAATTTTCGTATATTACGTGTATTAAAAGAAATATAATTCGCGCTTATTTCGTGGTGATGCGTTTTCTATGTATTTCTGGTAATATAAATATGGCAACTATTGGATATCTTATCAAAAAAGTACGAATCAGATCTTAATCTGCGATTGGCTCAAAACAGGAGCATCAAAAACCCAACGAAAACTTCTATCAAGCACATCATATACAGGAATGTTTATTTTTAATTTCCATTTTGTTACAATTATTATCGTTTGCGTTATTCTTCATGTAACGTTATGAGAATTAGAAGCTACATTACAATTAAATGAGTGTACATTCTGAGCAATGTAACTTTGCTTATTAAAATCTTGACAATATATTGGTGCAATTTGCATATCTATGCGGTTTTCATGGCGCTTGTTATGTAAGTAAATTTTGTTGCTGAATTCGCAGACATCGCACTTGACGGTGTCCCAGTTGAAACCTAATTGGGCTCGTTCATAGCTGTCTTTTTGGAAATTACAAAAAGTCCACATAAGAAGTTAATGGTCCACCTGTTGGTATCATTAATCTGAAAGTTGTTGATAACTATTACAGTTATTGTATACTCACTATTACTATTAGTTAACTAGTTCATTTTTTCCAAAAACTTCTCAAAAATCACGTCGGCAACGTGTGGTTTGCTGTTTATATTCCAATATTTTTTATGATTAGCGTTTCAAAAATGGTATCATTGACGTTGTGTGGAAACTTGGTTATTTCTTAAAAGCTCTTTATTTCTCGTAAACCACAACGAAGATATTTTTATAACCAATTTAGGCTCTCAGGAACCTACGGATTTGTAGACATCGCTATTTGTAGTAATCAAGAAGGCAGACATTATTTTTTTCTTTGACCACAAAACGGGTTCAGAAGGTAAAATATTAGGTAAGTGTCGTTATTATGTTTCAATATATATGCTATTACATGCCAATTCCTTCAGCCTTTTATCGGTATTTAGATGTTATCTAATCATTCTGGGCTTTACGAACTAGTCTCCCCGAAAAGGGAAATACCCGGTAATTAAGTTCTGTATTATAAGCGGCTATTGGCCTCAGAGCACTGCATATACGAATAGATGCGGATTTTATTTTGCTAATAAACTCTATGTATTTAACGTTCGCTACAAATTTTACTTAGATAATCTTTACTTCTGTTTATTAGCCAAACAAAGTCATGTGCGAATAAAATCTATTTTTGAGCTGATTTAGCCTCTTTTACTTGAGGTGTAAGTCAAACTTTTTTATCACGTGAAAAATATCTATCATATTACATCTGAATGTATATAGAGGGAAAACATGACTATAACATCCCTAGAATTGCCAAAGTCCAAAGTCGTAAAGAGTAACGTAAATAGTAGGATCGTATTTATGCGAATAAATTTGTGACTGTGAAGCTCAAAAACCCTACAAAAAAAACAGTTAACTCAGAGAAATACTAAAAACTAAATAAAAATCGACTCAACAATCAAGGCTATAGAAATAATAATGAACAAGCTTCATAAAAAGTGTCAGCTAAGGAATTATAAGGTATGAAGCTATACTTATTCGTTCTCAATATTAATCCTGTCCAACTAAGAACATTGTTTTATGCGCCTTCTACCCTTACCTAAATTTCAATAAACATTACTACATTCGGAAAGCAGTTTTATCTGATAGCAGAAGGACGGGATAAAAAACCCAATTTTAACTATTTCGCCCTTTTACTTTCCTAAAGTCAATACAAGTATCAAGCTTTAAATTTACGTAGCCTGACAAATATAGAATACATTTAATGTGGGAAAGGTCGCCATTTGATACTTGAAACCAACACCATCATGTTTCTTTTTACGTCAAACCTGTTTGATTCACAGTGTTTCCTATTTGACAATGCTTACTGTTATAAGATGACACAATTACAGTTTCCCAAATGTTTCTTTATGAGATTTCGGTACCTCCGTCTTACAAAATTTTTGGTTTCCTATTTCTGTTTGGCTTCACTCTTGAAATATGGTGTACCACGTTGCTTACGCTCTGTTCATTGACCTATTTGAAACTAATTTGTTTATTATTCTGTGAAATGTATCTTGGTTTATTTTCGCTAAATGTAGTACTTGCTACGTTGCACATTTTGGTCAATCTGATGACTGTGCACGTTGAGCAGTACACCGTCATTTAACTGACGGTCAACGGCCCTGCTACGAGTTTTGTGTGCTTCGATATACAGCAATATAATACATATTGTATACCAACATGCACTAGTTGGTGTATATCAAAGTGTGAAAATAGATCAAGTAAAGACAATAACTCGTCTGTCTTCTTGTAAATGTAAATAGTCATGCAGAAGATGTTAATTCGGATCAGGATCTTGTCTAACTGTCTTGCATGTCTTCGGGGGTGGCGGGGAAAGACGTCGTCATCTTTACCATCAACGCAGAAGTGGTTCCGTAGAGATCCCTACAACACGAAATCCTCCTCGCTGATGTTTCGCTATTCGGCGAAATTTGCGTCCATAAACGATTGCCAAAGATTCAATACATAGTAGTGGTAATAAAGTTGGCGATCTATAGTCCTTGTTGATGCTTATATGTTGGAGTATTTATATTGACAGATACGGTGATAGGTTGTCCTACAGCGCCATGGAAAGCCAGCCAAGGATCATGAGCATTCCCCCGTAGGGTGTTACATGCCGCACACGGGTATCGTTTGTTAGCGCTCGATAGTAGCATGTACCGCAGAAGAGCAGCGTACCAACCGATAGAAGCGATCCAGTCTGCAAAGATGGATATTAAAATGGTAGTTAGCAACCCGTACATACGCGGCATAGACAGTAACGACAATGCATTAGAACTCTACAGAACTCTACTATAACTAACCGTAAGAACTGATTGAAACATTGCGACAGCGATCCAATGCAGGAGCTTCTATTTTTCATAATCAGAATTGTTTTTATTGATATTTGACTCGACTAGTTCACATACTTCTGGTAGAATTGAAAATCGTCAGTAAAATGAAGGAACCCTGCTTACAATGAATGGTCTCCTGGAAAGCGGTACTCCTAGAAGAGCTAGGCTGTGAATGAAGTGGTAACTATTCGTGCGATCGTAAATCTCCTTGCGTTGCTCCTCAATGTCTTCACGACGGTACACCACTATAAAATGGTGAAGAATAGTATGCCATTAAAATTGTGATGTATTTATTAGTGTTTAGTGGTCTCTTTCGCTACCGACAAAAGTGCACTTGCATGGTATTTTAAATTTATGGAACTAGACAAAAAAAAGTAAGAAGCTTTTCAGAGGATTACTGACCATGCGCGTACTACACAATATGTGCGTATAAAGAAAATATAAAATATGCTTACCATGAGCTCCGTATGCGCCCATGGCAACGGCGAGAGCACCGGACAGACCGGCAATACAAATAAATGGTGAACCCGTCCGTGCTAAACCACGTACGGCCTTCGCGATAGCTCGATCAACCTCAGAGGTGATAGCTTCAGGACGTATTCCTCCACCGTTATTACCCGCGGCACCTAAAATAATCGCATATCAGCAACGACAAATATTAACCGCCATCGAATAAGATTTCGTTGCATTCGCGCTTCTAAGTGAACAGAGCTCAGTTTACCCCAATATGGAAGTCAGAGCTTATTTTGATGTCAAAGTTCGTTATAGCTCTCATGAGAAGTTGAACGCATTATTGTTTAACGAACATTAAAATAACAAATGCCAGTCATTACCATTGACATGATTTTGGGTTATGTAGCGATATAACTTATATACGTCAGTCAAGCAGTGAAAGCTCACATCGGAAGAAGTGAAGCTTCTATTGGATGGTTGCAGCCTGAATCAAATCAGTCATCATTAGTCAATCAAATAGGATGGATCCGAACAATGGGTGTCAACAAAAAGATCATACCACAAGTGCTGTATGTCTATCTCAATAGCTAAGAAGGCTCACACCGAATAACGTCACAATGCGAGTAGAATTTTGTTGCAAGCTCATTATTTGCTCTATCCATATTCTACTACGCTACCCTTAAAGAATCCATAGACGCTGCGCGAGACGACGTTCTCAGTCAATGCAGCTTGTACTTGCGAGAGCAGTGACATGGTCGTGTCGGGAACGGTGCAAAGTAAGCCCTCCTTTTCGGTTGTCGTGGTGGCGGTGGAAACGACGGCAACCAGCACGGGAATCTCTGTGTGCAATGAAGACATACGGCACTACACAGTAAAATTGTATTAGTGATGGACGATACACAAAGGGAAGCCCAAAGGAATAGCACTTAATTTTTGTTGGCAAAGAAGCGTTCTTATTTACTGGCGTGTTTGTACAGCAGCAGAATCAGTCGAAAACACCAACCTGCAACCGAGGGCGAAACTGCCAGGGATCAGTCAGGTCGGATGTATCACATAACATTAAATGCAATAGAGCCAGGATCATCATCAGCATTATGAGCAGCAGCAGCAGCAGCATCAACAACACAACAGTCAGGAGCAGACGATAGGCAACAGTGGAAAGCGAGGAAATGCTACCGACCGAGCTAGCAACTGCCCTCTCACTTTTTAGAGCTGTGTAACAACAGCAACTCGGCTGCTACTGCTACAGCCTTTTGCTGTCAAATGAGGGCGGTCGCTCACGCGGCCAGCTAAAGCCATCTCCCAGTATCCCCGAGACATTACAAGGAGCATATGAATGAATGAATGTTTTATCTGAGCGGTGTCTTATAGGGCGTTCGAATATATGTATCATGACTGGCTCTCTGAGAGTATGCTAGCCTTTTGCAATAGTTATATTGATTATAAGAAATAATAATAATGTAATAACGCTGTTTGAGCTCTGGTTTGAGAAACCTTTGTTGCTCGGGATAGGCGTCATGGATACAGAAATAAAACACTTATAACAACTGTCTTGTCTTCAAAGGCAAATGAACTTTACTTGGGCCTCGACTCATCTATATGTAACTTCTTTCAGACAGCTGTGTGTATCATTGTTTCTGTTAACCACTTAGAAATTGAATCCGTAGGTAACAAAGGGTCAGAAACAAGGCGTTTCCAAGAAGATGGATGTGAAAACGGTGCCAGCTACACTAATTGGCGGAGTAGCTGTGTCTGAGGGCAGAAATGATGTGTCAGGACAATACACTCATAGCAATGCAAAAGAGATCAAGGACAGCGCAAAGGGAAATGCTCTTGCCAAGCCGCCAATCGAACCTAGGGACGGAGGGTCTACAGTTGCACCGGTTAGTTGAAGTTCAGAGCAAATAACGGGAACAAGTTAAGTGCGACGCCATTAAATTATTCACACATTGTTTCACTTTACAGGCCTTAAACTTACTTAGGTACAGCAAAGCACCCAAGTGGGTACGTTTAGGGTCACCTATAGCTACGTCCACATGCACATTTGTTTCCTAAAAAGCAGCGCGTTATTGACATAGGTGCTTAGGCCTCCATCCGTTGTTTTATGAGTCTTTATGATTATCTAGGACAATTTTCAGAGATTTTCTTTGGGCATTATAATGCGTACACGTTATTATAGAGTGATTTTCGTACTGGTTGCCTATCTGTAAGAACTTTCCATTTTTTTGCTATGTTATTTGGTTTCAGGTCTCTCGCGGAAAATATCGTCGAGGAGGAGCCTGTGCCGGCGACGATCGGCCAACGCCAGGCGATGAAGTTGGCGATGCCACGGTATCCGCCAGACTTGGTTTCCGGAAGCATGACATTGTCTGGGCGGACCTTGGCAAAGGAGTGCACTGGCCTGCACTCGTGCTTAGCATTCGCAACCGTGGCTTGCAGGTAATTGAATATTCGTGTGCTATCTTTTAATTTCTATGGTATCATATAATATTATATTAAAAGACTGAAACATAGTGATCGTTTGAAATTAGTTTCTAATTTTCTGTGTCCTGCCAAATGTTTACTTACTTTGAAATATGACATCTGAAATTATCCAGTTGTTGTAAGCTGCCTATTTTTATTGTAAAAACTATAACTGTGGGCGCTTGTACAATACTGTTTTCTACACTGCACTTTATTATGTTGTATCTGGCCTTATTCGAATTGGTACAGGGTAAGGCGCGGGTGAACACGATGCAAGTGAAGGTCTATCTGGTTCACGACGGAGAGACGCGGACTCTTCCTATATCAAAAGTAGGTGTTTTAATGATAAGTGTGGCATCGTCATGCCACGTTTCAGACAACTCAATTAGAAGGAAAAAGACGTCTGTGTGATACAGTTTATGCGATTGTCATGTACGTACCTCGATAAATGAAACGTTTACGGAGCTTTCGAAGGAAAGGTTGCTTTGATAGAATATACTGGGGCTAGAAACAGCAAGAATAATTAACTGTCGCTTCCGCTTTTTTCAATTTCTTTTCGTTCAGGTTGACGGCTTCGATTCTGCACGCCGTCATAATTATTTAGAAATTGGACGGGGAGGTCGCGGGGCACTCGCGGTAGACCACGCGAGGGCCGCCCAGAAAGCAGACAAGTTTCTCCGCGAGAGAGTTCTAGGCACCAACATCGATCCCATAAGGTTCTTCTGTCTTGGTACGGACGTGCACCTTTCTGCATTTTTGTACTCGTGCCGTGTCATTTATCTAGTCTTTGGAACTAGAATGTTTTTAGCACTTGTCATAATGTAAGTACCACGCGATTTTTGTTGTGGTGTTTTATCAATAATCATTCTGTGCACTATCAGGTGAAACAAAACTGATTGAGGATCAGGAGAGTTCAACATCTTCATCCGATGAAGATGAGGGTGTTACTGAGGAGATTGGGGGTGATGGTGCAGGAACACCGCCGAAGTGGGCGTTACCCGAAATCGAGCTAGACCCCGTAACAGCAGGCGACCAGCAGAAGAACAACGGGTTAGTTTTCTTAAACAAAAAGTGAGATTATATATGTCGTTATTTTGTAAATACGATGAAGTAATAATTAAATGTTCTATTTCAGTGGCAGCAGCAATAGCGGTAACGATATAGTGCAAGCGTTGCATATCGTTAAGAAGGCGAAGCGGCGTCGCAAGTTAAACAACAATGCCCTCGTAGAATTTATTGTCAATGGAAAAGTTGAGCCGCACCTCGTTGGCATCTATAGGTTAGTTATATAGCTACATAACTAATAGAAAATAAATAAATAAATAAATATATATATAAAGGAAATTTAATTACTCTGAAGAATGAGTATAGTAAGATCATCTTTTATAGTCACAGGCAACCCGCCAGTATCGTGCGCCTATAAACTCATTAGCCTATTTTATTTAAAAATAATTGTATGTACATTCTGCTCAGCTTTTCATGTCTACGCGCATAAAAAATTCAGATTCAAGGTTTCGGGCACTGGTTAAACGTAAGGAAAAAACTTCGCTGTGTATATGAAGGACGACCAAATGTTTTCAACGATAATTATCCCTCAAAGTATGTGATTTGTAAAAATTTTCAGGGGAACGGTTCCTTCTGAACGTCATGCTTCATTTATGAGTGCGGACGAAGCTCGTCGTAGCGCGCTCAAGAAAAGTACGTCATGGGGCCCCGTTGATGATGTGGGCCAACAGGAAGCCGTCTTCGAGTATTGTGAAGATCTTATTCAGCGGTCCGCTGGTGATAGTGAGGGCACTCCTGGCTCTGAGAGTGGCAGCGAGCAACTCGATAAACATACCTACGCCTTTGAAGTCTTTTGTCCGGAAGCTATTACAAAAGCAATTTCAAGGCTAGCACGTGTTGGCATGGAAACAGCGGCCCAGTTATTTCTCAAAGGTACAATTTGCGCGCTTACAACAACGAGGAAAATCAGTGCAACAATTTCTTGCGTGTGTATTGCATATACCTTTGTGTTAATGGCATTCTTTTGGGTTTTTGTTTTAATTTAGAAGTTGAGAGGTGAAAGAAGGTGGCCATGGATTCCACGGAAGTTCACTAAAAAAATCTATAGATTTCAAAATATCTCTTAGATCTTGCTCTTATTATTCGTATGTTGACAGCACAATGTCTTGATGATATTGCGATTCCCCGTTACTTTCCATCTTATTTTCTGCAGGTCATGAACAGAGCAAGCAGTTTAGTGAAATCCAGGACATAGCCACAAAGGAGCAGGAATTGGAACGCGCTGCGCAAAAAAGCAAAGAAGAAGCAATAGAACGGGAACGACAGGCCAAGACTACGACGGCTACTGATATCATCGCCAGTACTGGCAACCAGCAAAGTGTGTCCGAAGACATTGCGCAGGACCGTGGAGAGGCCGAAGTGGGCGAAAAGAAAAGCGTTGAGGGCGAGGGTCGGTCAGAACAGCTGAACACCGGTGATGTCGTTCGTGAAGAACTCGAACGACTGGGCGTTGACCAAAAGTTATTAGAGGTACTCGACAAGGACGATGCTTAGATGGATTCAAACAAACATTAATTTTTCGGGGAAAACTCGTAGCAAAGAGAATCCGAGCTGATTTCTACACTGGCCTATTCGCGACGAATTTAACATTCGTTACAGACCTTACATTTGCTGTAACGGAAGCAGACATATTCCATAAAATTTTTATCTAGCTTCGCAACTATGCGTATCTAGCAGGACATCGAGCGCCGACTAGACTCAATTGTGCAGTTGAAGATATTCATCTTGCGAACAGAACCACCTTATAGTGGGCGGCTCTCAGTCTTCGCTATTTTGAACCCTGACCAGGCGTATGTCTACATTAGTGTATAGGAGAGAATGCGACTATTGGCAGACAATGAGCGCAACAAAGCCTCGCGTAACAACTATCCGGTTTGCCCCCTGAAGAACACTCCATTAGATCCTAATACATATATGATCCATTGTTGTAACAAAACAATCGGCTTTGTAAAGCGGAAGTCAGCTACTTGGTGCCGACGTTTTGACAGATGAGTCTATCATAGTATGCATACAGTTTAGCTGCACCTCGTACGACTCATGTCGAAGTGTATTGTCACATGTAAATTTATACAGATTAGTCGTAGCAAGGTTTAGCAACCGGCTCTTTCTATATTTTCGAACTTAGCCGCGATTGTACTCTATCGTAGTCCAGGGATGAACAATAGCAAAAACAGGCTCAAGTTAACCCTGCGTCCGTTTCTTAACGTGTGCGACAAACATCTCTGTTATGAAGCCACAACCACAGTTAAATATCTTGAGTCCTGCTTTACCTATCGTGTGCATTGTTGTGTTCTAATGGATCTATCCTGCAAGATGCTTCAACTACAATGGCCGTATCAGCACGCCCGTTATTAGCATTCAAGGCTGAACTCATTCATCTTCGACAAGCATTGTTGTCGACTTCTTGGGTCAGACAGTATGTAAACGTTCTCCCATAGAAAGCATAACCAAGTATAGCGTATTATTATTATACGTATAGTCAGAGTAACTGTTTTGTAGTCCTGTCATTAATTCATTCATTCATACTTCATTCTGGCTTCAGTTAGCACAAATATGCATGCCGTACGTGTTTAACTTTTAGATACTACCAAAAACAAAAAAAAGTTGTTGGACTAGGAGTGATTATACAGCAACTACTTTACAATTAAATTCAGATGTAACTTTTTTTTTTAAATAATCAGATCAAGTTGTATGAAAACACCGACCTTTGTGTTCTTTACCATTTTAGCACACGACTCCCCAAAATATTGTTTATTGACCGAGCGTACGGTTTTTTTTGTAACTTTGGTTTCATTGTTACTTTCGAAGCTCAAGCTTTTGTTAAAGTGACGCAAAGTGCAGCGAGATTGAAATATTCGTGCACACGTACATACAGAAGCACACCACTGTATTGGCACAAATATTTCATTAAGTTCTGTCCGTGCATTCTACAGAACTAATGAAGCAATCTTCATAGGTCTCATTCACAATATGCCTATCCTTTATGTTAGTCAGTGGAAATATATATATATATATATATATGAAAGGTACCATTTTTGTTATTGTCAATTATCAATGAATGTATTAGCAACCGAAAAAATAATAATGACGATAACTATATAAATAATAAAATAAGCGAGATTTTGTACGACAGGCGTTTTGTCACATTGTTAAATTTGCCGAAAAACAAACTTACAGGCTTAAGTAGATAAGACCAGGGGGACGTTGAGTTTTTTTTACAAGATACACTAGATATCTCTATCTGTCGGAAGTATACTTGCACATTATTATTATAACAGATACATTATCTGATAGCATGGAATAGATTTTGTTCATGATTTGTTAATAATTATCTGGCATTTTTAAATGTGTGCGTAAAGGATTATTGAAACAGGTTATTTACTCACTGGTGTATTTACAGGTCTTCAAAAAATAGGAATCGCCAACATTCAGCAGCATGGATTAATGTATACATAAACACACAAAATAACCACAAATAATATGGCAGAGACATGAGAAATGAAGGATTTTTTAACAATGAGAGCCCAAGTAAAGTTGTAGTATTGGTCATAGGTAACTCTTGACAATTGACGGATATTCTCTCCCCTATAGGTCTGCCTGGAAGTCGTAGTTCTATGATTTTTTACGTCACATGATAAGATTAGTACCAACTATGCATAGTTAACCTGAGTGTAATAACGATTGATGATTTTTTCAGGGTTTTGTTGTCATCAGTTCGTCCAAAATGTCAACGATAAAAATAACCGCACCGTTTCTTTTAAATTTATTGTTTAAAAATATTTATTTTATTTTTTATTGTTTTTTTATGATTTATTATTATATTTTTATTATTTGTTATTATATTTATTGTTATTATATTTAAATGTGGCCCCAGCATTTTGTTTTTAAAAAGGCTTCCTCTCGCTTTCTTAGAAAGCCGCAGGAAAAGTGATTTAGTTGTTTACTTGTTGTCTAGATCTACGTAGATAAAATTTACTTAATAATATGTAAGAGCGTAATTTTTAAGTGAAATAGGCTACATTTCTCTCGGAAAGAGAATTGTGTTCGGGGGTCCTACCTGCCTTCGTAAAGCACTTAACCAAGTGTTAACTACCCTAGGCTGTTTAATCTTTAAACTTATAAAACTGAGATAGCTTGGCTTCAATATAGTCTTTAGCATAACGGTTAAAGGCGACCTTACCTTCGAGCAGACTTTTAGGGTACTCTGAATTCCTATTGAACAATTTAAGTTAACAATTTGATAACCGAATATGGTAGGAACTGTACCAGTCGGGCCATTATATCGTGGTAGTCTGTTTCCATGTAGGTTTAGATATCAATAAGACAGACTGTATCGCTTTAAAAAAATATATATTTTTTTTATCGTTGTGGTGATAAAACAGGTTTATGAGTATGCTTAGAATGCTGCTCAGCTTTATATTCCAGGATGTGTACGCATACACCATGCACTTTCTTCTCCTTATATTCGATCTTCTGACACTCCATATGTGCTTGCGGAGGTTCTGTGCTGTTAAGGACGCCGTTATCATTGTTTCGACGGGTGGGGTTCCAGTTGGCCCCTAGACTTCTTTTCCTCCCATTGATATGGGGGTAGAGCGGCCTGTGCGAATTCTGTCGATCAACATTTTGCGAACTTTGATATAAACACTAATTCCTCTCTTTCATTTCGGAAAGTGACTATCAATCAGCAGCAGACATTTGCAAATAGGCTTCATTATGGTGTGTTAACAAGCGTTTTATTCATTCCAGCAATCAACTACTACACCTGGTTACCGATAAAATAAAGCTGAGTCTGAAAATTAAATCATTTTCATATGGTTTGTTTTTGACCCAAAAAAAATAACTGGACTAAACCTGACAACTCATTTCTTGTACTGATTTTCTGCAGTAACCTCGCCTCTACGGCACTGGACACCAATTAACGCTTTCCAATAGAGGCATAAACTAATTTGTCCATATTTTTTTTAAGTAATCACGAAGGAGAGCTTGTTCAAATTAAAAAAAATAGGCTGTTCACGAGTATGCCACTGCACCACTAATTCTTTTAAAATTAAAAAGTGAGTATTTAGGTTCGCTCGTTTTTATATAGGTCAGGTGTTCAAACTTTTTCAGCTTAGTATACTGAATAAGTCCTAAATGGCTTCTATATGGGGACGCATAGTAAGAACTCGAGATGAAAAGTGACTGAATGTTGCATGTGATGCTTTAAGTTCATTCACTGCACTCTTTAGCTCCTAACTTAGGCTTCCTTAAGGATCATGAAACTAGTTATATTTAGAAAAGTATTACATATATTTACATATATGTAATTTTTTTCTTTTTTACAATATGTATTATAAAGAAAATCCATAAAGCATCTGCTAGAAATTAAGAAACGCCTCGTAACATAATGTATTTTTATTCTCAGGTTGATAGTATTGTTAATATTATTATTATCTTTATCAGTGACAACGGTATACACTTCTTGTTTTGCCTTTTTCGTTATTTTAATTTTAATATTATTATTTATCGTTATTATACTTATTGTGATCATATCACGCGGTTTGGCCTCGACCTTGCTAAAACCCAGCTTCAAACTATCGCCAGACCGGGCGTTGCCAGGCTACGAGGGCCCGAGCAAAAAATTACCCGTTCAAGGAATAAATGATTGATCAAGTGGTTCAACGAGAAACAAGCAAATACAGGTGGATAGGTTATTCCGTTTGGATGCCATGACGTTTTCTTTAATCGATTATTGACTTTAGCTGGCTGCACAGATCACTCATCCCATTGGCTTACACTACACCACCGTCTGGGTCTTTTTGCTGACACTATATACATAGAAACCAGTCACTGATTTGCGCTTGAGCAGCCCATTGTGTTCAAATCTGATAGGTTTCATTTTTCGAGATCCAAAAACCGTCTCACATACGCAAGCAAAGTATTAAACATCACGATTAATATGCAAATGATAAGGAAAGTGAATCCAATCGAGTTATCTGGGTAACCAATTATTTGCTGTACAGATGTCAAATTTTCCCGCGCTCCTTAGTGGTGCTATAGAAGAGCTTCGAATATCCATATTTTGCATGATCTCATTAATAAGCCCCGCTTTGTCCAAGAACGGAGCCCTATCGATAAAGTTATGTCATTACCAGAAAAACACCGTCTACTTAAGTAATGTACACTATATATATATATATATATATATATATATATATATATAACGCGGATTGAGTACGCTGCGCGTGAAGTCATCATCACAAGTATACATAACAATAGCGAACCATAGTATTCTTTAAAGGCCGATTGAAACAATTTTTCTTTTTTAATTGTTTAGATGTCACGTAATTTCAGATTGAAGCTAATTATTTTCGGCGTTTACGCCTTTAGATTGTGGATGATGATGATGTCCGCCTTTGATAGTGTAACTATCCTAGCTAATGTAAAGCATCATTAACATTACGTATGAGTGAGTAATCAAGTGATCTGATGCTGAGCTGCAAAGATGAATAACGATTTGGAAAAAAAAATGCTTATGTACTAAACTACTGCTTTGAAAGACCGGTAAGGACGAGGTTTGGAAATCGACATTTTGAAATTTTGATTCGTTGGTACGACCAAGATCCTTATAATAGCTGTGACACTTCGGAATGAAGTAAGATTTAAGGTCTGCAATTGAAATCTCTCATTGGACCATATTCACAAAAAAATTCTTTGCCATAGAAAATGCCGTGTACTGTGTAACCATCTGTTAACTAGTTACAAGCGAAAACTGAGGAACCGTTTTCCAATGGATTGTGTAGTTTCAAATGAAATACAAACTGAGTTGATGGCTGCAGAATAGTCAACAAACATGCTATTATTATTTTGATTTTGTCACTGAAAATGGCTTCGGTATGAGCATACATCTCAAACTCAGCACACGTGGGATGAAGGCGTCCTTCAATCGACAGTTGCTACTGTGCTGGATGGAATAGCCGAATTATCGGCGAAGGTCGTGCAAGTGCTCTACAATATTAACAATAATAATCGTAAATAACTTATTTCTATTCCAAGGCCTAAGGCTTTTTGATTAGTTAAAGCTCCTTAGTGTATCATCTTATATATTTTCTCAACTATTATCATTATTATTATTATTATTGTCATTATCTCATTATAGTCCATAGTATTAGTTTTCTCTTAACAAACAACAACCGACACATAAAATCCTACCCGTAGTCAGCGGCATTTTAAAGAAGGGGTGAGGTGAGAGGTAGAATGGGAGCGCGGGAGCGGGAGCAATATATTGCGGCAGCCAGGTACTCATGACCCCTCTAGCCACAGCGTTAATATGACGAATATCGCATGGCCCTTGACTGGCCAATTTAGGTCCACACAGATATCTGACTCAATGTGCCCCTAACGTCACTTTTTTCGTTGCTGCTAGATCATTTTCGAAGGTCATATTTAATGACGGTTCTAGTTAGATGAGTCTCTCATCTACCGAAACGAAACGTACTTCCAAAAACGGATATAGTTGAATATATAGATGGACATAGTCGAATTAGCGGTCTAATACACTCATTTTGCTATTAAGCGTGCGGAAAGCTAAGCTGTCCTCTATTTACCGTTCGGAAGCGGAAGAGAAGAACCGACATCATGACAAAGTATGTGCTCTACTGTCAAGAAGGTATTCATTAGCTACTTTTATTGACACACTTCTCACCTAGTCTAATAACTATTTCGGTCCGACCTACGTGTCGACGCCGTCTGGACCCATCCAAAACTCAACTATGAATAGTTCTACGTTTTGGACATGTTGACATGTATATATAGGTTTAGAACTACAGTTGCCCCGCTGAGGCAGAAAGATCATGAGTCATGACCAGATAAGTGTTTGGGAGGGCGCTCAGCCACAACAAACGTTTAGCAAAAAGGTACCTTCGTCTGCTGAGTTAGTTCTTTTTAATGACCAATGGATTCCGGATCGGCTTCGGCTAACGTCTTTCCATTATTCCTATGTCCATGGCGATCAAGGTCGAGATCAATCGTTTATTGATATCCAGCCATGAAAAAACTGCTTCGTCTAATTGCCGTGTGCATCGTGTTAAATAGATTGCTTTGAATGATTGTAACACGACGATGATTGTTGATTGATTGATGGTCAAACAGTAGATATATTTAACAAGATGAGCCCGTTCTATTTCTAATTCATTTTTGCTCCGATTGTGACAATCGCCTACACTTGCGCACCTGCATGCACTTATGTATATCCGATGTCAGCAATACTGTACACTGCCAGATGCAGCATGGCACCGGGTCGAGGCCCTCAACATCCTGAGGTCAGCCCTACGTGCAACGAGATCGATCGCTGCGAGTCGTTGGGTGGGCGAAGCATCCGATTCAGCCAATTTCCAATCGGGTAATTGCCTATAATTAAGTGAGAACAGCGAGTTTGAACGTAACTTTAGCTACTAGAAAGGTGCACTTGGCTAAAAGGATCGCAATAGCAACCGCGCATCCTGTGTATGTTTTGGGCTATGTTTTTCTGGCATATACCGATCGCTCGAGACAGAAGTCAACGGCCCGATTGGAAAGATCGAAAATGTATAGTATTTTTCATAATTTCTGTGAACTTTCATGTGCCTATTATACATAAAGCAGTGTGCGATGTAAAAAGGAAACGCAAGTCAAACAAGAATATACGCACGTACCTTGGCCCGTGCTGAGGGACTGTGCTAAAGGCACCGTCCATCCAGGCGTTGTTTTCACCAACGAGACCGTTTATGCCGGGAAGGTGGACCTCTTCCAGTGATGTTACTGGCCACGGCGGCGTCTGTGACGTTAATGAGCCCCACCGTTCACCTCCCGCTACCGACACTCGCCATAGACGAGCGCGCCGTTCTCTAAGCTCACGGATGCGTAAAGCTTCGTCGAGCGAGCACGTCATCAACGGATTGCATAGGTCGGTAGTATTTCTGCTACGCCGCGATCGCGGCTGCCGGCCTTTGATGTGGTTGTGTTCCCCACGAGTTAAAAAAAGTAATTCGTTTTCGTGACGGCGGCGGACTGTCGTAGCCATCGAGGACATTTCGAGGTCCAGCTCATCTTCCAGCGATGAAGCTCCGCTGCAGCGTGAGAGCAATGGTCGGCGAAGCCGTTTTCGATCGAGAGTCATCGTGTGCGTATCTTTAAGATCGAGTGTCAAGTTTGCTCGGTTGGCTGGTGCTCCACACTGCATTGATGGGGCATTAACAGGTTCAGGCGCGCTAAGGGGCACACGACGAAGGCCACCGATTGAAAGACTCAGGGGTGTCATGCTTACGGCCATTCCCGCAACTGGATGGCTCAACGCGCGACCTAGGGGTATGTGTGCGTTCACGCGCCGCGGTACATCAAGATAATGGTTATTACTATCAGTAGTATTGGTATTGTTCAATGGATTATTGCTAGCGCTGGTCAGTAGTGTTGATAGTTGTTGCGACGGGGTCGACTGTATCACGGACTTTGGGGCTACTGCTCCGCCAGCATCTGAAGGTTCCGATGAGAACGTTTCATCGGCGTAGTCGGCGGCACCAAGCCGCGCTGATGCTACATTAGCTCCTATTTCAACGGCTTCAGAAGCCACTGGCATCGAACTCTGACGTGGGTCTGATTGACAGTTCTTCCGACTTTGAAATAACAACCAGTGATTCACACTTCCGCTGACAGCTACCATATGGCGCCCCGAACGCTTGCTACTGCCGTGGGCGCCATGTGCCGGTAGTCCTGGCAACGGCCCGAGAGATGTGACCGGTGGAGCATGAAGAAAGAAGTACTGCGAGACAGTGCTCATTAAAAAGCATTGGCCGATCAACATAGCACAGCTCATGTCTGAAATGGATGTACAAGGAAAGGAATGAGGGACAAGGAAAGGCCACATGTTTTGCAGCGGAGTACAACCAATAGTACGTATAGTTATACAACGGTCAAGCAGAGGGCTTGTTAATGTCTATAGTCCAGGCATTCAGAGGTTCTGTTGATTTACAAACAAGGCATAGCTGACCTAGTACCTATTGCCCTCACAAACGTAGTAATAATGTTAAAGCAAGCGTAGAGCGGGGAGGCAAACAAAGGTAGCTGGTGGAGTTATGATTATGAAAGGAGACAAATTATCACACGGACAGCCCCTAATAGAAATAGTATTATATTTTCTCCTACAAAGTTATTATTAAATATGTGTCCCTAGTTTGTCAACTACAAGACGGCGAGTGATTATGGTATCATTGCTAAAAGCCATTACCACTGCGATTTGTCGATGCATGACGTATTGGTCTATTACTCCTATACTTACAGATACCGGAGGCCATGGAAGACAATGGAGGAATACACGGCAGGCTTGCCGTAAGACCCGTCAACTTGAAGAAAATCACCTACAAAAAAGACGATCGATAATAAATGTATTAATAATCTAAAATTTGATCAGCTATATCGACAGATCTGATGTAGCATGTTGAATGCCGAATTTTTGTCTAATGATGCGAATAAATTACGTCCACGAAAATGTGAAGCGGCTAACAGTCTTGTTAATGAAGCAAAACGTTGATTTTTTTATTGTTGCTCGGATGTAGTGAAGCTACTTCATTAACTGATACCTGCAATCGAGTGACGGTGTAGTGCAGATGGAAGACGGTAAACTTTCGACGAAGTGCGTGCTGCGGCAGATATCGGGCTGTCAGTTTTACACAGATGACGAGCGCGTAGGTGCCCAAGACGAACGATAGAGCCTGTATCAGCATCAGGTACGGCGACGCATTTGTTGCTTCCAACTGCATTAAAAATAGTAACGTGCTTAAGTATAGCGAAGTCGATCGCAAATCGTAATATGAAAGAATAGACCTTTTACCATGCTATTGGCACTAAGTGGTTACAGCTATAAGAATTTCCGATAAAGAGTTCCTCGAAAATGTAATTGGGATGTCCTCCCAGCACTTTGTCCTCTGTCCCAAACAGAGTATAGAGTTGGTTATCCAAATCTAAAGAGATTTTTTTCGACATTCGTAAGAATTTCTCAGGTACAGTTGAGGAATATTTTTGCGAATGAAGTTACTTCTTGTAAGACGATCATTTTTTTCTACACAGGGAAAAAGTTTAGGGCGCCATTTTTCATGTACCAGTTGGTTGGCTCAACATATGGCGTATACGTTAACGTACTCGGTCACCAGGATGAATGCCCGCAAGTGTACATACGAAGATAACCCCAACGAGGAGTACGGGTACCGCCAGCAATTGATAAATAAAATATCGCATCAGACGTTGACGCTTTCGCGTGAGGATTGGTCCGGGACCGCAGCACGGCGGCAACACACAGCACAAAGGCGGACCTTTAAGGGGCATGCGTTGGTCCGCCAGCAGTTCCCAGAGCACCTGACAGCCACCGGCATATGTCGCTACTAGCTCATAGTACATCACCAATGAGAATGGAAGGTATCTGCAAGAAGTAGATCCACATCTAATGTTAGCGAGCTAAACCTTTTTATTGATGAATATAAAGCGTAACAATATGTTACTCGACCCCCTCACAGAGGTTCAAAATATATCTAAGCAATGTTTAAGTACATAGTCTTCCAACACGAATAAAATGACCCCGGTGAGATCTAGATAAAGACTCACAGCATGACGAGAGCGCTGGCGACATCGTACATGTGTGGGAAGATGGCAGCTGATAGGGCGCAGATGGCGGTGAACGGGAACACTGAAAGCGCTGCACACGAGAGGAAGGCGGCCCGAGGAGGCCATTTGTTGTAAAGGTAAAGACATTCACGGGAGAATACCGCTAATGTGACCAGCACCATCCCTGTCTCCATACAGCAAAGTAGCACACCCCAACGGCCCAGTACTAGAATAGTAATAACAGAGAAACGGAAAACAGCAGGAGAGTAAATAACGAATACAGGATCGACAGGTAAAAGCAAATCGAACTGCTACTCATAATCGTGCTCCATGTGACCAAAATCACATCTTGGTTATGATGACTCGTGGCTGGCTGCACTAGATATAAGCTAATTGGGATTTTCGAATGGGCAAACGTAGAAGCAACGAAAGCCGAAACAAAAAGTAATCGGAATTTACCGGCAAAATTCTCAGCACCGGTGGGTAAATAGCCTTTGTCGAGTAGCATAGAACAGTTGTGTCGTGTTAGGGTATTACGAGTTGCCAATACGGATTTGGATCGTTGCGACAAAGCTTCTACTTTTACTGGTGCCAATGCTGCCATGCTCGTCTGTATATTAGGAGGGGCAACATGTCGCCAGACACCATCAGGTTTCTCGTCGTGAAGTCGCAGGTAATCGACCTCCTCCTCCCTAGAGGCGGGTAGTTTCAGTGTGTTGAGTGAAAAAGTTGAATCCGTACAGGGTGTCAATTAGTAAGTACTTAAGAGCGTTATTATTGGGTCATAACTTAGTAACTGAAATCAATTCCTATATGAATATATGAAAGATCAGTGAATAAATTTAATCTTTAGTTCACCTATGCTCATCTGGTAGAAATGTTCGTTGTCGTGCCCACTGGTTGTTAACGCGAAAGTTCATTACATTCGAAGACCAGCCACTTCGTTTTCTGATTGTGGACCTGAGAGGGGCTCTGGCTGCTTGTACCTGTTTCAAAAAACGCGGAAGCCCAGAAAGAAGCTGGCCGTGTTGTTTGAATGCTTGACTAGATCTTCTGAATTGGGCCACGAAGTCCATGTCCTTAAAATACGAATCCAATGATCAATATTATTGTCTACTAACAATCGTCCATTATTTTAGAGCTAGTAAGTGTTTTTACTTTTTTCTAACGATTAGTAAAACAACGTGTGGCAGGCAGCCATCATTCAAGTAAGAATCCAGCGCATGCTCAACACCTATTCCGAAAATCTAACAACGCATTTGTGGAGTAACCTCACGCATGTACCTGCTTCAAGTCGACTGTCGCATTACCCATATCGATAGCTTCGGAATCGGACGAATTGCCCAACGACGACTCTATTGCATCATCTTTTTGGCTCGTTTCGTTAAAACCATAATCATCGCCGTAATTGTCCTGGTCGCCCGAAGCCAAAGCGGAGGTTCGCGGCCTTGAACGGTGTTGTTGTTGTTGTCGTAGTGCATATAGGCTATGTAGACGTTGATGACTTGAACTCAGCGTTTGTCGTGCAAAACTAGTTAATCTGGTCAGATGCTTCAGCGTTATCCTAGTCATGTTCGATACTTTTAGTTTCCTTTCCTCACCGCTGTTTCTTTTCGCTCTGCTTCTGTCGTCCCTAAGGTCTCTGCTAGCGGCTTTGTCATAATTTACGTCGTTATTACCGTTATAAGTCATATTATTATTATTCTCAATATGAATATTATCATGATGATCGTCGTCATTATCCTCATCAGCATTAATATTATTTGTCCCATAACGATTATTTTGGTTACTGTTATCACTCTGGAGTGACAACGTCGTCGTTGTCAGCAGGCCCCTTTTGGCAGGTGGCTGCGACGGCCGTAGTCCCGTCTGTGAAGTTCGGGGCGGATGCTGGTTTTTATTATTCTTGTTTTCAATAACGTTTATATTGATTTTATACTTTTTGTAGTTGTTGTTGTTTGCGAAATGCGAAGCGGCCATGGCAAAGCTTGTAAGAGTGGAAGTGGCAAAGTCCTCAGTAGTTTTTGTCGTCGTGGTGACTCCATAGAAAACGGCCAACAGTTCTTGACGCGCTTCCGACGGACGTGGCTTCGTTTTAATTTTTTTTTTGTTTTGTACGCGAGCATATATTGAATATAGCGAGTTATCTCGTTGTCGCGGTTTTCGCTGCCATCGTCGCCCCCCAATTTGGCCGTGAATGATTTCATCGTAGCTTTCATCGTAACGACGACTTGTGACAAATACTTGCTTGTCAGGAGCTACCACAATAACTGTAGTAACATCTGTCACCGGCCTCCTGTTTACTTTTCCTATTGTTTTCGATGTAGCTGTGGTCGTTTCTGTATAGTGAAATGGTGAGACTGTAGCTTTCTGGTGAAGGAGTTGGAATTGTGATGTTAACGGTCGGAACGATAATAAGGGCGAGGATGGTGGCTCCATGGCCGGCGACGGTGACAAAGACGTCGACACCGAAGTCGAAGTCGCCAGAAACGGGACCATGAGCATGTGCGTTTGATTGATGAATAGTACTTCAAGACTTTGATCCTGGGACGGTCCGTCACGTGTCTCCGACGTCCTGAGCAGACCTTCGCCCCGGGTGGAGGTCCTCTGCGTAGGAAGTACACCCGGAATAGAATAAATTGATGCAACAGCAGCAGCAGCTGCAGCAGCGGCAGCAGCAGGAGGTCGGCCATCAGCAACTGCCGAAGCCCCCCCCGCCCCCAGCACGAGCAGCAGCATCATCAACAACAGCGGTAACAGCTGCAATGGCAATAACAGCAGCAGCCCGGAAATATTATACGAAGAGGAGAAGCACGAGAAATGATTCTGCCATATTTTTTTTTTTCGCGCCAACAACTTTTTTTGCATCAACAACGCGTGCAAGAGTTCTCCTCTTTTTTGTCGACGAAAAAGCAGCTGTTGCTGTAAAGCCTGAGCGCATGACAACCGAAATGACAATGGGCGCATAGCATCCGGACTTAGTAGTTGTCCACGACCGCTTCCTTTTCCAGTTCTCCGGTTTACTTTTTCGCCGCCGCCAATACCTAATTTCGGTTCATCATCAGCTCCGTTGCGGCTGCTGCTGCTGCTCTCCTTGCTGTTATTGTCTATCGATGTTGCCAATTGCTGCAGCTGCTGATGCAGACGGCGGGTGCGGGCGTCAGGGCGTCAGCGCCGCGAATTTCGAGCAGTTGGTAAATTGGTCACCAACCAACTGAAGCTGGTGCTGTCGTATAGCTGTTGGCTTTCTCTTGTTTTTGCTATAGAGTCAACAGTTTCATCATTAGCTGCTGAAAGACCCAATAAACGCTGAGCACTGACACGGGTTATTGAGGGACAGTAGGCTAATAATAACAGTCTTACGCATAACGAGGAGGAAAATGAAAAAAACTGGCGCGATGCCGTCTTCGTAATTGCTGATAAACGAAAACCGCAAAGTATGGACTTCTGTTGATGGTAATTTGATTGCAGCTGGAACTGCAATAGCAGCAGCAGCTGCTGCTGCTGCAGAAGGTGCTGTTTTTGTTTTGTCGAATGACGGTACGTATTCACAAGTTGCTGCTGGTGCCGCCATCGCTGGAGAGGTGACAGTCTCGATTGGAAACATCGGCTGTCCCGAACAGCCCATGCAAATGTAGCCTTGTTTCTATTCTCTGGCATTAATTGATGATACATTGCGTATTTCCACTGTCCCGTTGGATTCCCCAAGGTAACCGCGCTACCGGCTTTATTTGACGCGGCGCCAGTCACCTCGCTGGTGCCTCGATCGTCGGTGAATCATTCCCCTACAATAGCAAAATATCAAAATTAGTGAACTTAGGTTATACAACAAAAAAAAAACGAACGACCAATTTTTTCAGTTAATTACTACTGCCTTTTGCTGTGCCGCCAAAAAGAATAAATGTTTTTGCATGGTAGAACGCTGCCGCGCATACTCGGCTTCTGTTAACGCTTGCAGTGCTATAATAATAAGAAAATAAAACATTTCAAATTAAATAATACCTACAGTTGCATTTCATCGTCACTAATTGTGTGGCTTTACTAGTCTAATATGGGGCTGTTCTGAACTCCACATAAAAAAACGAATAAACGAGAGACCGCTTCGTTCGAAAATGTTTCATATAATACATTTCTCTGCAAGCATTATTATGATTATGGAAGAGTTATACCCTTTAATACTGAGCACTCCCCGTATGTAAATGGCTTTTTGAGCACATCTATTCTTTGTGACTTTTGTTGGTACAGATATTTTTTTGTCACCAACCGTCAAAATGTTTAGGTTCCATACGTTTTTTTTTTTTTTTTTTTTATAGAGAAACGAAATACGCACAAATCTGCTTGCTGACAATAATAAAGCATATTATTATGACATCACTGTAGTGGACACTTAGATCTTCTCAGCTAACAATGCACTAACATAACGGTTAGTACTAATAGGTACACGCTCTCCGATTATGCAATCCTAATTTGAACTTCTAATTCATACGTAGGACTCAAGCCTAGTTCTACCACTGCAACCGTCACACAGCTGCTTCATTGGCCTATGCGTATCACTGATTGTCCAGCGAACCTCTTCATTGGCTCAGCGCTGAAAAAGCCTATGTCTTCGATTTATATCTTGCGCTCGACACCGATCGCTTACACTCGGAATGAATTCGATCACGAAACCAGGCCCTTCCTATATAACGTGAACATTGTGGATTAAAGAACTGTTTAGCTGTCAGTATTTCTCAAACGGGACTAACTGCTAAGGCCGCCGATGGCGCTTGTGCAGCCAGTTAAGCCAGCCAGCCAGCCATGTCTGTGTAAGTGAAACTCGTAAAAGCTCAGAGTAAGCGTTGTCCTTTTGACAACTGGTCTATCGTTCTTTTAGCTTCTACCTCTTCTCACCATCATTCTAGTTGACTTGCGCACGCAGCAACCCTCGCGGGCGACGACAGGCGATGTTAGGGGTCAGTCCCGTGCCGACCAGGTGCACCTCCGAAATTTTGGCGGCAGGTTCTTGAAGGCCTGAGGCGGCGGCGCGATGTCCACACGAAGCCAACTTCCCGTGCGCGCTTGGCTGACTATCGTCGTCGTTGTCGTATCGAAGAGTCTCGCGCTCCCATGGAAAGACAGTCACCAGTGCTACTCTTCGCTAGGAGCCTCGTATTCTATCGACGACTAAACACGCTGCGCACGCATAATCTTACTCGGCCCCTGGTTCTTTAAAAGGTAACCACATGAGGGCGCCACGTGTGTAATTAGAAAACCAGTGACGGCGCGAAGACCCACCCTAGGCCAATGAAGACTTCTGGCTCCCCCCAGTTCGGCAGGGAAGAAATTGGCGATTTGTTGTTCCAAACATAGTAGGTAAAGCCTTTTGAAGGTATATGAGATGCAGTCAGTACATGCTGAGTGCATCGGACAGTCGTTTAAATTGAACTCAATTTAATCTGATGTATTCGATGGGCTATGAGCTATAATAAAGAAGTTGTTGTTATCACCAGAGAAGATTAACCTAGTCCATATATAGAAAAATGCTTATTTCTGAATATTATTAATAGTTTAGGCGTTTCGCGCGACAAACTCGCTAGAAGTTAACTAACGTCGCAGAATATGCTAAAGATTTAAAATGACTTAAAAGAATATGAAGCACATAACTTTAATAATGACAACAAACGGCCCTAAATTATTCAAATCAATCACCTTCTTATTTTATCCTCAATGAAATATGTATTAATTTTTTCATTCATCGTGAGTTGCTAATCAGTTTTAAACCATAATTGCTTAGACCGTGCATTAGATGTAGCGTCAGCTGATTCCGAGAATCTGATATAACGTATATGAAATTGATTCATTCTTGATATGTTTTTTAGTTGTCTGTTCAAACATCTTTGCCGCATTCTTAATGTGACAAGAAAATTTATTAAGACTGAAATTTCCATTATCTATTATCTATCTACTCATTTTGAACTTTTGTTTATGTAAAACCCAATCCACCAGTTTTTTGCAAATACGAAAATGTCGCACACTTAAAAATGATCAAATCATTCTGTGGAATATCGTGAATAAATGAATATGAATCGACGGGACCCTTCGCGGGTCGAATGTGGATAACGTTCGTTTGAGGTCAAGTTTTTGTCACACTTCAACGTGACACTGTAGCAAACCTGTGAGTGCAAAAGGTAGAACAAGAACATTATCTCTGCTACAATAAAAAAATACGTGCTCTATGAAGCAGCGTTTCAATCTAGACTGGAGTGAGCCTTCACTACCCAGGATGTTACTGCCCTCGAATGAAATGACTAACTCATCTTCAAATCCTGCATGTGAGTTGTTGTCCACGTATTAACTATCGTATTGTACTGAACATAAAAAATTCCACTCAAAACAAGAGGATGTATCTGAATATATTCATTATATAACGACTAGTTCCTTTTATGCAGTTATCTCCAAATCTCGGTGAGACATTTTTCTTCGAATAAAACTACAAACGTAAAGGTCCGTATTACCTGTGCTACTCGTACACGGGATACGTCCAGCTTCGTCAGTGAGTAAAAACTAAATAGTTACGAAATCAGAGAAGCTTCATAACTAGTTGATGAACGCTCATAAATCGATAATAAAGGTGACTTTATCATAAAATGAGCCTGTCATAAAAACCTGATTTAGGAAAAGTGTTTTCTTTCAGCCTCAACCTTGCTGTATAGTAATGAAATTTAGATTTATTTGAGATGTTAAGTATGAAATAATCACATTATACAGGTATTACTATAATAAGATCCGCATCCGTTTAACCATAGCCTTAGCTCGGCAAGAATGGCAATTTTCCGCGATATAATTAATTGAAAATCTAAACGGGAAAGTCCTGTTTTCAGTTTTCTTAAACAAGTGCAGGGTAGAAAAATAGTTACCTTAGATGCTGAATGTCTTTTTTGGAAGTCGGTAAGTACCAACTTCGGCAGCAAAATTTGTCGTGTCCGTCAATATTTCACAAAAAGGTTCATCGTAGAAAAAAATATGTAACGTACACGCTAGAGAACAAAATGCCGTTCATATACGAATCTAGCCAACGCTATTAGAAAACTCGCGTTAAGAAGATGAGTGATTTTCGATTTAGGTTTTGAGCGTGGAGAGGGATTAAACCCTCGTAGAAAGTTGTCCACTTACCCATCTTGTTTTAACAATGGAGGCAACATTAATTCATTTGTATTGACAATAAGGAGGAAAACTGACAATTCTTCTATGTTGGTTTCCACTGGTCAGCTGGAGAAGAACGTGATACTAAATTGGTGTCCAGTGCTTCATGCGCTTTCAGATTATTTTCGTAAACGCGTGGAAGAACTAGAAAAATTAGCTTGAAAAAACCAGAACTTTTTTAATCCTTAAGGAGTTTAAGCTAAGAAATTTGCAAAAGAAATTTGATGAGACGCTAGAAAGGATGCGGGCTCTTGACCACCGTCTTCAAATCATGAACACCATCAAGCAACAGAATCGAGATCTACAAGGCACCCTCAATGAGATGAGGAGCTTCATCTACAAGATTGGTATTTTGATGATAGAGATGAGGAGATATCTTTGTGGTGTCGTCTTCGTCCAAATAAAATTGTCGAAGTCTTCCGCTTCAGGATTTATGATGGAAATGAGCTTTTTAAACTAGCAATGTTCGTCATACACATTCTGTAGACCTGCTGTATTAATAATGTTATAATCAGATGTATACTTAGTCTACTCGTAATATTTTCAGCGTCAAATAAAGCACGGGGATGGCAATCATCAATGTATTAAAGTTGCTACTATAACAAGATATTATATGGTAAAAACCGCTGCCTCTCAAAAATAATTCAATCAAGGCTTCGACAAGCTTCGGTAATATGTTGTGCACAGACTTCGTTAACGGACTGGACTCCTTCATCAATTGTATAACGTCACGTGTACTTCATTCATCCGTACGCGGAATTCGATAAAAGCTAACGGCAAATCGAAGTTTCATAAACTGAATCTTTATTGCCATTTCTACCTAAATCATGCGCAAAAATCACTAAAAGAAATGTACATATTAGAAGTGGTTTTCTTTTGCCCATGTCTACGTTATTTAATAATATTAATATTCTTAGATTAGCTATAGATTCATTTTTGAGGTGAATTGGCACTCGGGAGGAAATTAACATTATTTGTTGAGCGTGATTTTGTTGTTTACGACAATGCTAACACCACCGTCATTCTAGCCAACGGATCTTCTCTCATGTATTATGATGATCTACAAATGCGTTATGAAACGTTGACACCAACCGATCATTCCGCGTGTCTCATTATTGGTAATATTGCTCAGTTCGAATCGGTGTTCAGTATAAGCTAGTCGCATTTATATCAATATATATTTAGTTTTTAGAACAAACCTTGTGGATCGCAGATGCGGCTCGTTGACGTAACACTACGAGATCAGAATCTTGACGACTTCAATAGGACTAAAAACTACGGAGCTGGGCAGTGTAAAAATTTTTCATGACGAATTTTTTTCATTATATCAGGCAATAATAATTCATACAACGCAATTAACGTTTCACTACATAAAAAACTATATCCAAATTGCCTAAAAATAGTGACGTTTCTCGTAACGTTTTATGATAAAATGTGCTCAAGAAGAAAGTATTTGTGATGTGTCGGCTGATACAAAGGCTGTGTTGGGATATAAAATCAAGCCTTGATAATGATGTGACAGTACTCAGTAAATTTTTCCTAACGGCTTCATGAGACTCCGAAATGTACTTTTTTTTCGCCAAAAAACGGAAACCAATGACTAAGTGGTTTAAGTGGAAATGTATGATTACGCAAGAAGTACTGTATCAGTGAAAATAGATACATTTTAGACTAGTTAATTTAAAAAAGTCAGTTGTAGTAATTAGGAGCTTTAAATCATCATACCTAATTTTCCTACCTTTAAATATGAAGAAATCTAGACGTGTCGACGTAAAGTCAATATTCGGCTTTTCCTCTTCGCACCGTTGAAACGCCAACAATTGCTGAAAGCAGACGTCAGTTATGACGAATAGCGAAGTAGCATTTGCCTCGCGCAATCCAAATCTTCGTCAGATTTGTGAGTTGCCAAGTTTTTGGCCGATCAATTGATCAAAAAGTGCTCGATAGCGGGAATAGTCACTAAGTAAGTAAATGATTTTGCATATTTCATATCTTATATGTCTTGTGCCTTAATTTGTAGGTGTTGATGCCAAAAGATGTGATAACCCTCGAAATAGGCCATCGTAAAAGTTGGGGCACTAAAATAGGAACAGGTTACGATGGCCTAGGCGGACATCATCGATATATTCAGAAAGAACCACAAGGTCCTTTTCTGATTATAAAGACTCGCTTCGATGTGCTCCTTTAATTTGGTTTTACCTATTTTGTTTGATGACATACTGTAGTCATTCTGTCGAGAAGTTGCATACACTTACAGTCAAGATAGTTTTGCATAATCTTGCATTGGTGGTGCCGTAGGATGAGTGCTAGTAATCAATGAACTTGCAACTGAACATGCATCGAACCTAAACATGCAGATAAACTTCAATATAGTTATTCCTTCCTAATATATATATATATATATATATATATGAACATTTACACAGACACCAAACGTTCAAATATGAACGTCTTAACAGGAACTAATGCTTTGCAGTGATGATCATAAAGCGCTAGTCCCTTAGGGACAACATGGTAAGTTTTTGATTTGCAGAGAAGATAGAGAAAAATTACAAAGACTTCTTTAAAGAAACTCCAACAAAGAGCAAAATACTGTAATCAAAATAAGAGTTCCACCTCATCTTTGTCACTGATTATTTTTTTCCTATATATTAACTTACGTTTCAGTAAAAAGTTTAACTAAACAAACATTCTACACTCATGTTATGTAATGACATTATCTAAGAGTAATTAACTCTTATGCAGACCTGGCAACCGAAGTGGTATCGGCAAAATAATGACCAATTTTTTTTCTGTGAAAAAGCAAGTGACAGGTCAAAAGCTTGGCATTATTAAATAAATTAGTATTTAATCTTTCTTCAAAAATAGTCTTTATATCGATACTATGTCGTCCCAGAAGACCACTCCTTGCTGATTTCGCCTCTTATTTTCATCATATTAATAGCTTATTGCAACCTGAAGCTGCCCTGGGTAGGTGGGCCTTTCGAGGATCTATAAAAAAACAAAGGCAAGTTTAACTACTTTAAAAGCGCGTTCTTTTTTTAGACACTAAATTAACATTCTGTCACCGGCTGTATACGTCCTTAGATGTTCAACGCAATCCGTACACCGACATAACATTCTTCTCAAACTCCCTGCAAAATGTCTTTGTCTGGCCTAGTTTTTACATGACATAGTTACGTTTGAGAGGCAATGATCCGCACTTGTGATCTGGATATTAAAGTTGGACATGTCGTGGTATTTACCTTATTCTGTTAAATCTAATCTGCTAAACGCTGTAGCTCTAGTGGTTTACACTTTTTCGTTGCCCTATACGAAACGCATCATCGCGCACTTGGGTCTTGTGACATTTGAGCTCACTGATTGTTCTTCAACGTGCAATCGTGCATCCCAAACGTGCGAACAGTCAATGCTGCGACGTGCCAAACGTTCGCGCGTCAGTGCACCAGACAACTCTTGTCGCTCCTCTTTGCAAAAGCGACAGCTGCTTAAAAAAAGTGATGTAGTAAAAGATGTATCAGGATATTGCTCAGCGAGCATGTGTCCATGTAAAAATCTGTTTTGTTAGACACAAGGATTTAGTTATTTGCGGTTAGCCTCATACAAAGGTGCACAGGCTGAAGTGAGTTGAGCTTCGAAAAACGTGCTAGCAGTTGGTGATGATCATCGTGATTATTTCTGTAGCATAAAATACGTTTAAAGGTGCGGCAGGGACAGTAATTGTTATGTTCGATTTTCACGGTAAACGGACCGACCTGACTTCTGCCTAGTCATGCACGCTAGAGCTCCCGGATCAACCTCTCATCGGGCGAGGTAAGCTAAATTACAGATCACGCAGAATTGGTCTGCATGTGCCAGCTTCATCGTCAATGCCATCGTCATCATCATCAGCGTCGTTGTCGTTGTCGTCCTCGTCGTCGTTGTTGTCATGCTTGCTTCAAATGATTAAATTAGTACTACGTACTTTGCCTATCCCACATCTCCTCTAATGATTAAACGGAGATCGATTCTACTAATAGAAAGGTCATCGTTTTGTCGAATTAAGAAGGCGTTTTGTTAATTAATATAGAGAAACTATGACATATATAAGGTTCATTGAAGCGTCACCTTGATGATCCAAATATATGGCTACCTAATTATTTCTGTCTCGTTGTCATTTACAGAGATTAGATGATGTTGGTAAACGCTATAAGGATGTTGTGATAGGGACATGATGTTGACTCAGATCGTCAACAAGTAAAGTGAACGAACGGCAGAGAAATGCGCCAAAAACAATACACTACAACCTGTTCTTTATACACTACAAGGTGTTACTTTCTTACCGCAACCTTTTATACCAAAATTGTTTACTTTGTTTACAAGCCTAGCTTCTAAGTAAATTTTTAATCATTTCTCTCATAAATCGTTTCATCGGGTTGAATTTGTTGGATCTCGCGATAGAAGGAACTCAAGACTGACGAACATACGCGGCAAGGTAAAACGTGTCTGGTCTGATGAAAACGCTAGGCGGCAAAGGAATATCAGATGCAAGCGTATCTGACATCTTGAAGGAAGAACAAATGTTCAAATGATCTTATATTGTTAAATACGGCTCTGTACGCCTAATATTCGGCATCTTCCTTTTGACTAGAGGCTGAATATAAATACCCTTAACGGTGATTAGCGCTGAAATTGCTTTCTAATTGCTAACAAAAGAGAAGATATAACAAATTAAACATTAGAAGACATAGATTTTATTGCGTTGTGTTGCATTATCATACCATGTCAGTGCCGATTTAGTCGGTGCGAGCGATTAAATCAACCTTAGAGGATTGCACGCTTACCGGCTAGTAGGAATCTCAGCAAGAGTTCAACTTACCACAAATCTGCAGCTTAGCCTTTTCCTCGTAGCTATTTGATGAGGTGAAGGATACAAGCCACTTATCGGTACGTGTTTACTATTATTAGTAAAGAGTAACATCACGTTTAGACTAACGGCTCCAAGTGCACTTTGTCTGTGCAAAATGTCACAGAAAAGATAATACGAGCAGGATTCTTCTAAACTGCCAATTAAAGCCAGAACAGATCCGTCTGTATAGCTGCAATAAACTAGTGATAGCATTAGTCGACCAGACTGCATCCTAGATTTTTCACTATTCAACGCCAGGGGACTGCCCTAGATATATAGGAAACTTGACTATTTTATAAAATTATAGTTTAATTTTAGCTAAACGTCCCAGTAATTACATGCGTGCGGAGATCAGTTTATAAACGCATTTCTGATCGATTTTTAGAACAACGCAGTGATTCATGGTGCTTTCCCAAAGACAGATTCTTATTTTGTCAGTTTTCACTTTGCAACTCTTTCCCACCCAATATAAAAATATGTTATCTCAAAATGTTATTTGAACGCTCTTTATCCTATCCTCCGTCGTTTTGCGCTGATAATTGAATTTAAAACATTTTTCCTTATGATTTTTGATCTTGTCTCTCTCCCAGTGGTTTGTCGAGCCGTCTGGGGACGCCAAATCGGGATTATGGCACCCGTCTGTAACTGCGGCGCAGTCTCTTCCCCCTTTTCTGTTTTATCTCACTCAATTTCTATCATGTTTCGATTCATAATCCCTCCCCCCGTATGTCCAGCTCAATATCACCTGCTTCAAAAGCGCTATTCGCAGCTCATATGCTCCTCTAGACATTCATACGATCCTTTGCCCTCCCTAAATTGCGGTGCTGACGGCACACGCGTGGTTCAGTTTAGCCGCTACAGCAACAGCGGCTACAACGTCATTGTATACAACGTCATGCATATATGTGTAAAATAGCGTGTACCTGCAGGCAGCGAAGGCGGGCTTTCAACTGTAACATATTCGAATTTGTCGTGTGCCCGCTGTCTCCTTTCTGCCTGCCCTAAATCACATTCGTATTCTGGCGCGCTCCACGTGCTGTGAGGTTTGTTGGCTTTCTGCTATCTGTTGGCCATAACCGTCTGTCTGTCTGTGTGACTCCGTGCTCGTGGTCTATGTCTGTGTTTGCTTTCAGTTTTGTCGCGGAGCCGCGATCTGTCGCTGTCGTGAACTGTCGCAGTGTCCGTGCGCTGTTGGCAGCGGCCACAGCAGTAATCGATGGAATCAGGCTGGGGGCTACGAGCAACACAGCAGAACTAGCGGCAGCTTGCAGCCAGTACAGAGATCAGAAAATAGAACGAAATCAACAGACGGACCGTACATAATTACAGACTTTCGCATACGCTCCTTACGCATCAAGTCTCCATGGTGTTGTTGTTGTTGCGGCGGCCGTCGTGGCCAGTGGTCGTCTCTATATACAACTCACAACATTGACACAGACGCGCACTCACAGACTGCGGTCGATCTGTCGCCTGCTAGGCAGCTAAAATCAGCAGTGTTCGTTCATAGGGAGCTGTTTGACTACAACAGGAGTCGTAGCAGCAGCTGCAGCGGGAGTAGGAGCATACGCGACGAACAGAGGGATACGACGACAACGGCCAGATTGGAAGGAACGGAGGGGTGCGCCACCACCACCACCACCACCACAGCCGCCGCCGCCGCAGCAGCAGTAAAAGACAGCCGCCAACGAGCGATAATAGGTGTCAACGAGGAAGAAGTTAACAGCAGCAGCCAAGTTGCTGGTGCCCGTCTCGTCGCCGCCGCCGCCGCCGCCGCCGCCGTCGTCGTCGTCGTCGTCGTCATCGTCATCGTCGTCGTCATCGTCGTCGTCGTCGCTAGGAGTGTGTGAGTGTACATCAAGACCAGCAGCAGCCACTGCAAATATATCGTCGCAGTGTAAAGAAGGAAGGAAGGAGTTGTGCTGCTTGCTTAGCCCGTTCGTTTGTTACTATGTTGGTGGTCGATTAGTAGAGCTGATTCTTGCTCTCTCGTCGTGGGCCGCTGCTGTCGACCACCGCCACTACTGTTATCGCTAGTAGTGTGCTGCTAGTATTCGTGTTGCTGTCTCACTCGCATTCGATTCCAGCAACGGGAGCAGCTGCAGCGCTTGCTAATTGGCGTGTGCTTGTTTGCCCACCCTGCCAACAACGACCTGTGTGTGCGTGTAGCAGCGGTCGCCTGAGCTGCACCAGCGGGAGCTACAGCAGCCGAGGAACGACGCCAGCGGCAGCCACAAAAGTCGCCGCACAGAGTGCAAATACACAAACTGATTGGAGACAGCAGTCAATCGAGGCTCGAGACTCACGGACGAAACGCTGCAGGCACGCACGCAGGGAGGCCAGCCAAGGCGAGGCTAGCAGCACCAGACCACGGGAGCGAGTAGTGAGTGCTCCGGGGGGTTGTGTTTCGTTGCAGATCGATTGGTGTTTCTGTGCTCAGGGGCCACGCAAGTGTGTGCTGCTGCCACTTACCGCTACCGTCGCCGTTTGCTGGGTTTACGTGTGCGTGCGTGCGTGCGTGCGTGTGTGAGTGTGTGTGTGTGTGACTCCGCATCGACGGCTGTCGTACGAGTGAGCCCACTATTACTCGCGAGTACAGAAAAAGGCTCACCAACAGTATCGCCACAACAACAATTGATAATATCATCGATGGTGAAAACATTAGTTCACCAGTAGGGATACTGACAAGTGCGCTAGCAGTAGCAATAGCAGCACCTACATCCATCCACCAGCGACGTTCGTGTTTTCGACTTCTCGAACGCCGTGTATCAGCAGTCGCAGCAGCACCGGCACAGATAGACAAATAGACGTACAAACGCTGCGTAACGAAGCTGAGGGTCCGTCGTTGTTCACTCGAACAACAGCAGCAGCAGTAGCCATAGTAGCTTCAGAAAAAGATGCAAAAGTAGCCGCAACAGCACAAGCAGGGGTCGTCCGCGTAAAATGGGGAGATATTAGCCATTCAATCGGCTGTTATTGTTGCTATCGTCGTCGTCGTCGTCGTCGTCGTCGTCGTTGTCGTCGTCGTCGACGTCGACAATCGTCGGTGAGCGGATCGTCAGTTGCGCATAACAACGATTACCATCACTATCAGCAGCCAGTGAAATAACTGGGCGGGTTAACTGGCAAACAAAAGGAGTTTGCGTGTATGCGTGAGTCAGTACACGCGTGTCCTATGCGTATGTCCAGTTGTGGTGAAAACAGTAAAAACGAATTGAGATAGGTGTCTAGAAAATCAGCGGAGGGAACAACGTAACACGGCAACCTCGGCCGAAGACCGCTCTCGTGAATCGTAATGAAAATTTTATAGTAACAGTTGTTGTTTATCGTTGCGGAATCGTAGTCGAAGTTTTCTGCAGTGAAGTGCGCTGACGGTGCAAACTGTGACGCGGACAGTTTGGTAGCTGAAGAATACTGTAACCTAGTGTACAGGCCAGTATTTCTGCTGAGAGAATCATCTGCCAACAGCGTGGCTGTGGCAGCACCACTAGTCACAATAACGATAACAACAACAGCAGCAAAGGCCACCATCGTGCTCGTCTGTTATCGCCGTGCTACCAGCCCTTATCGTTTACCATTATTATTATTACTACTACTACTAAAACGCCCCGTTCTAGAAGGTCGGGTTCACCCCCACTCGTCCGCATAGCGAGCTGCTGCTGCTGCTGCTGCTGCTGCTGCTGCTTTTCCAGACAGTGGTGTTTTTCTTTACGACGAATCAGTGTGCGTGTTGTTACACACAGCTGCTCCATACCTAGTCAATAATCTTCGTATGGTGCAGTGGCCAGTGAGTTTTTGTGCCGTCAATAGCACGGCCACTGGCATAGCGCAGCAACAGCGTGTAATTCCAGCGTCCTGATTCCGTGCTGACCGTCAAATCATCAGCATGTTTGTGGTTGGATAGTAGTATAGTGAGTATTAGCTGTGCGCCTCTCGTCCTATCTACGCGACAGCATTATTATTACTTTTGGTCCTTCGAGCTATTCGAGAAGGAAGTAACACGGGAGTGGATAAGGATACATACAGGAATACTGAACTAGACATAGCGACGACAGAAAATCGAGTGTGGAGCAGACTTGGACAGCTTAGAAAAGAGCAAGAGTATGAAGTTGTATTCGAGAATTGCCTCTGACGTTCAGAAAAACAGTCAGTAGCAATAGTACATATAAGTGTCGTTCTCACTACTAATCGTTGATTAGAGTTGGCGGAAGTAGACGGTACGTGTTGGTGGTGCTGCTGCTCTTTATTCAGCCACCCTGTTCGGATTGGCCGGAAGGCTCTATCCACAACAACGAACGCAGTATAATAGCACTAACAGATTAGTCCGACAGCAACTGTAGCAGAAGCAATCAGTGAGGAAATCCACCGGAGCGATTTGATGTCGCCATGAACCAACAGGCGACAGACAAGAAAAGGAACGTCAAGAGCAACGGGACCGCCGGCCCGAGGTATGGAGACGCACATACTTTCTCGCACATGCTCAAACGAACGCATACAGGCACAGACATGACAGACGTGCAAAACGTAAGGCCACTACTGTGACAGCATCTTACTATTGCTTGTTAGTTTATTAATAGTCATCATTCATTAGATGGCAGCATCGGAGACAGATCGGTTTTTCAAAAGATATCGGCATCAATACCCTTGATAACGAATGCCTATTCGTAATGGGTGAACGTCGCGTGCGACTATTCAGGGTTTCAAACTTCTGACGACGTCTAATCGACCACTCCATCTTTCATCAGAATCCTTATAGGGGAGACTTGGAATTCTGAGCGCTCACATTTTAATGTCTGTATTGTTCCCCTTTACTTCTTTTTGTCATTGTGACTGAACTCCTGTGGAGACGTACCTCGTTTTCGAATAGCATTGTGCGACGACTCTTTAGGTTAAAAAAGCATACTTTCACTTACAACGCCATGGACAGAATGATACATGGCATGAGCATCTATTATCTAGCACGTAAAAAAATCCCGCAAATTCTAAATGCTGATGCAATCAGTATGGTACTAAAGTTATCGTCGTATCAATCAAACATTTGCTCAGAGAATACTATTTTAGAACTGAATCTAGAAAGACGACTGGTAAACATATTTCTCGGTTTACTGCATGGATATCTTATATGCAAATGATTAACGAGAAAGTAACAGATTAAACTTGGTAGTGTTAGATTGCCCTATTATTAAATGCATACCATGTGCCGTTAGTCATCCGTGGAGGTCAACTCGTGGACCTCGCTCTGCACGCGCTTTGCTCGTTAGACTACTTCATCTATGTGATAACGACCACGAAATGGAACAAGGAAGAAATGCCTATTTAAAAAATATATCCAAATAATCGATAAAGAAGTGCCGTCTAAGAAGGAAATTCTCTGAACTTACAAGCACATCATGTAAGCAGGACGAACCACAAGATGGACGCAGTACGTATATACACATATATAGAAGGAGAGAACAGAGATTGAGATCGAGAAAATAGTCAGGTGGCGTATAATTCATAACAGCATAGCGTCTCTAAGACGTACTTGAACTTCTAATTATTTTTTATGCCGACGTGATGACGTATTGGAACATCGCCACCTGTGATGCCAGAGTCTAGTGTGATAGGAACCTTTGGCTAGAAGAGAACTCTTACTTCCACCTTAGCTTTGTATTGTTGGTAAATGTACTCACATGAACCCATTTGTTCATTCATGCGAGAGTAAAGGGAGCAATATGGTGGACGCATGCATTTACTGACAGATGCTTTTGTTGTTAGGAAATACAGTACCGTCAATGTTACAGTCTATCCCAAAGAAATAAAGGAAAAGCTTAAGGTTTAGAATCTCGGGATCGCCACTATATGACGCCCTATAATACGAAACACAACAACTACTTCTACATCAAACATGAGACAAGCTACTGCGTTTGGCCGTGTTCCCTGTCAACACTGGCTATACAGGTTCTCAAGACGCGTTTCTCTAAAGCATGAAAGTAAGTTTTTCCAGGCACGGGGTCTTCTGAAAGTGATATATTTTAGGTTTTCTGTAGCTATTTAACGGGCTGCACAATTTAAATATTTTTAATCGATGGAATATAGAACAATGATATTTTGATTTACGTTAGATACACGACCGTTTGTAGTCTGACTAGCTCTTTAGGCTCTTCTCAACAGCTGTGTGCTTGCGACTTGCATTACCATAGATGACCTCATTACTTGAGACTATCGATGGTGGGATGCGGTACGCCATCTCTGAACCTCTTTGAGGCATGCCAGCAATCGAAGTAATGTGGACCCGAGTCTGGAGAATGTGACGGCTTAAGTCATTGCTGGTTTCTTTCACATCAGTTCCTGGCCGTGGTGGAAGCCACGCGATGAAGTCGTGAATTGTCGTCGAGTAATCATGCTATATCTTGTCGGTTGCTGCAACACACATCCATGAGGTTCTTTGGAAATTCTGATCTCCGGCAGCATTAAGCGTTCCCTTTCGAGTCATATCTTGTACGAACGGATGTCTTTGATACCCTATGTGGGTATGCTTATAACGCAATCCGTTCGACGCTGCCAGTGAAACGCCTTTTTCTTCCGTTCGGTGTCATCCTCTTGTGTGATCCTTTGGTGGTGGCAGCGCAGAGTGACTCATATTTTGTTTATAGCGACGGCGTTCACACCTTAGCATTAATTTTCTGTAGAGTACGCCGCAAATTTTTTCATTTGTCCTAAACCCAGTTCAAGAAATTTGGTTTTTTTCTGCGTCTTCAATATTTTCGTTACAATATCATAACATATGTTTCGAAAAAGTTGAGCCGACATTGTCGATGTTCTGTTCTGCTCAAAGCCTCTATGGTGTTAGCAACTCGGCTCTCCCGTTTGAGCTTTTGAAAACTAGTCACCTTTTGGTAGCCCACGATGTGCGAATTTCTATTTGTGACTATGGTAGTAACGAACTGTTTTGCTGAAGGTCTATTTGCCCACTTGTGCTCTTATGTTCGAGAAACATAGAATTAATTACTGGGTTTCGACTTTTAATACCTAAAGGTATCTTTAAAGGTGAAAAAAAGCTTAGAAGTAAACTTTTCATTGTAATCAAACTGAGTCAGAGTGTAGTCACAGATTACTGTAGACTTGGCACAATTATTTATAAAATTTTGTGCTTATGGGCTTGTGGTACTTAGGTTAAAAATTATTCAAATGTTTTGACCCGAGAAATAGCTTCGGGCAGCTTAATATATATTTGCCGATTTCAGTGATCTTGAAGGTGGTAAGTTAAATTTTAGTTTATATATTTCAGAATATTTGTTTTACCAACGTGCGTATTGTACACACTTGAAATACGCATGATTTGCCAGGGATTTATTGCTTTAGGTTACAAAAATGCTTGGATTTACCTTTTAGGATAAATGTTTTACTTAATTATTTGTCGATTTATCTTCACGTTTTCAAATAACAGCCCAGGTTAACCTGAACCAATTTACTCCGCATTCTTTCCACTTAAGGAAGGACGCACTGCCGTTTTTAATTATAACTTAATAGTAAATGACGAAAAGCAGAGCTTAAATGTAGAATTTTTGTATATATTTGAGTATTTGGCAGTCTTTTTATTGGCAGGGGGACTACTTCCCAAAGCTGTATGAAAGCTGCAAATGGCAACTTGGCAAGATAAATTCAAAGCTTCAGGTTCTATTGAACAAAATGCCAGAATTTTGCAGCCCTTAACAGAATTGGCTGGTCTTACAGTGTGTTTTGCAGGGTTATACTTATGGCGAGTTTGTCAAAAATTGCAATTAAGTTCTGTAAACCATTGGTATACAAAAAACCAGTCAGGTATTTAATCTATTTTTGCGTATTAAAATGCTCTCTGAACGCTTTAATGATCTGTTGTAATCTGACCAATTTCGCAGAGCAAATTCAGTTGATACAATCTTTTATGAGATGATCTAACTATTCTTATTATTGGCAACGCTACGATCGAATTCTATTCGCCATATATTATAATATTTTTATTGGCACGCCTCAATGGCTTGTCCAGAATTTTTTTTTAACAAAACATGCTTTATAAAACTTTTTTTTTAATAAGGTTCAGAGATCTTCGCTATTTTTAATAAACTACATTTGTTAATATTGTTAGTCGAGTTTTTTAATTTTCTCGCGTTATATCAAACGGGTAGTGAATATGCACCATAAATTACGGCAACAGCAACAATTTAAATTGCAAGACGAATTTTAGTACCGTCAGACTGTCCTTCAGAAGGTTAAAGCGAGCCGGATATCTATTTCTTAAAGGCACTGACAATTAATCAAGCGATATCTGGCATACGTATCAAAATATTTTATTGTTTTAAAGATTAAATATTCTCATTGTCACCTTTGCTAAGAACCAAATGAAATGACAGATGTGCTTTTATCAGGAAGAGGTCAAGCCAGTACGGACGGTCTGAAATGGCAATCTCCCTTTTTTGAAATGGGAATTAGCCCCTCTATAGGGAGACATCTCATTTCTCAATAGACAGTAGAAATCGCTTGTCAATCGGAATTAGCACCATTCAGATACTAATTACTTTCAACCTAGAACTGTGTAAGCTGGTCTCTGGCTGATGTATATTTATAAGGTTAGATTCATCAATGCGGTAGCAATGGCTTCGGAGACACTTGAAGGCTTTTCGTTGCGATGCCGTTGTCGAGCTTATATAGATATTTCAAAATCTAAAATAAACACAAAGTGTATATATGTATGAATAAATAAATTTCGTGCCGATCCTTCGAAATGACCTTGAAAGCGGCACTGGACATTCTTATAACTTTTGGTAAGTTAGCTCGGCCCGATGAGAAAACTCTATGATGTTCTCACACCTGAGTAACTTTTTCATGCTTAAAAATTCGAAAAACTATCCCAATCACGTGCCCTACGATTCGCGCCACTACACCAGCCGCTCTTAGCGAGTTAAGTGGCGACTTGTTGCTTTTGGGCGCATTCATGGTCTGAAAAAGGACGCGCCACACGGCATCGCGTAATTGCAAGCCCGTGCGTTACAGCGTCTGCTATTTCGTTCTAAAGGTCTTAGTATATGGGGGGTGCAATGGTAGCATGTTTGTTTACTAAACATAGGGACAGACGATGAGGTGGCGGCCTAGGTCTGAAACAGTGCCTGACAGCATCATAGGGTAAAAGTTGAAACATTTATTCAATTTGAGACCGGCACTAGACGAACGTCTCTTTTTCTTGGGAGGAGCTAGCTCCCTGGGAAGGATTTTAGATGGCACTAAATTGGTTGCGAACCTCAAAAGATTCACCTGCGCAAGTGTCAAAGGTTGTTCCGTATAGCCACATTGCTAGCAACAGAGACAAAGCGGCAACTCCCATGCGATACCGACCGATCGGGTTAGACTATTATATAGTCTAACCCGATTTTCGCAGACTCAGTGTGATGAGACCAACCTGTTATTTCATGCCAATATAGAACATAATGAAACATTGTTTCAAACAAGGTAAACAGGAAGGTGTGTGCGAGTCAAAGGCAAAATACAACTTCACGTGACAGGTTGAAAAGACAGCATTTTGATAGGATCGTGTTACTTCTGATACTCAGCACAAGAAATGCTAAAAAAAAGATAGAGTGAGACGGCAGAGCTGATGTATTCATGTTTCATTTTTCCGACGCGAGCAATCGATTTCCAGGTAATACGAATATTTACACTTTGCAAATGTCACTCCATATTTGTTTCTGCTCAACTCAATGGAGGAAGCACGCATTTAGCAAAGCACAAAGCGCACGAAGGAGAAAAAAATCTGAGCCGTGGATAATAGTTACCCAATAGATTATTACACTGAAAATTTCTTTGAAACCCAAATAAGTCAAAGATATTTATTGCGGTGAAATGAAATCCAGATTTATCCGATAATATCTAATTGTATTCTATAGGACTACAAAAATATGTTCTTTTTTTTTGTTTTTAATTTGTGGTATTTTTTTCTTTTTGTCTGCCTCTTTTTTGGCCATATCAAACGAATAGGAACCAACGAAGCGGTGGGAAAAATGCCAGCTCGGATCGAACGCCGGTAGTAGACAAAGGACTCTCGACAGCAACGAACTCGGTCCAACCTTCTTTTCTGGGCCCTCGCAGTATTAGCGCCACGACGGGATCTTCTAATAGCATTATCTCAAACAACAATAATAACAACAACGCTGCCGCTGCCGCTATCAGTAATCTAAAGTAAGAAAATTACAATTAAATGCAGAATTCGAGCGTATCCTTTATTAACGAAGATGTACTATTGAACAACCTGGTAAAAATAATTTCGCTTGATTATAATACTCCTATTTATCTTTCTGTTACTCGGCGTGTAAAGCATGAACTCATGTTTGTTTTATCAAAATCTCTAATATTTTTCACATGACGCGAAATTTTCGATTCGAGGGGCATGGTAGGAACAACGTTTAAGCTCTGAGGAAAATTCGTTTTAAAGTACGGCCGAGATACGGCTATAATATTACAATCTTCTGGATGGTTGTAGTGATGTATTTCATAATTGTTTTGTTGATAATATTAATATATTTGGATAATATATAATAGTTAATTGCGAAATTTTTTTTTAACAATTTTCACAATAATTGTGACTATTGCTTGGATGAATATAAAAAAAGATCAGCAGAGCCATAATGATTAGTAATGTGCTGTTTGTATTATACCTCAGTTCGAAAACCGTTAGTATCGTTATTTTATAATGGCATCGACCTTTATCCCAGCCGAGATCCATAAGATGCCACCTCGCCTGCGTTGTTTTCATCGTATAATTCGTAGAATTGTATGGTTTGTGTTTGTCAATGTTCGACGATTGCTACAACAGTAACAGCACGAGCAGCAACGACGCGAGTGGCGGCAGTGGTGGAACGAGCGCCACTCGAAATTTAGAGGCCGGCGGCGCTAGCATCGGCCGCGATCGAGGCGATGGGCCTGCCTCTGGAACGGCTCAACAACAAACAGCTTCATCAACAGCAACAACAGCAGCGGGATCTGCAACTTTGGGTGGTTCGAGCATCGTTTCGGCGAACAGCGTTGGACCTGGCTCTCCAAGGGACGGCGTTTTTGTCGCACCAGGACTAGCAGGACTCGCGCAGGGACCCGACGGAGTTTATAACAATGCCCGATTTATGCATGCCGTTGCCGCACTCGTGGTTCGTACAATGAACGAATGTCAACTAATCATGTATATATATATATAATGTGTCAGTCTGTCGTCGAAATTTCAATGCAGTTTTAAACGCCAATGAACAACGGTGAAAAGCTTGCCGTTATTTTGCACACAATGTCTAGTACAAGTATGCGATCATTTTCTTAACTGTTAAGCAAAACTGTTTATTTGTTGCTGCATAACCTTGACACGTACACGTATTTAAAACGCGGGTGAGAAACGTGTATTCGTTTGTACCGTATTGGGAACGGTGCACTAACTGTGACGCTTGTTGTCGTCGTCCAAGAAGAAACCCTGTTAGCACTCACGCTGTGCGAAGGGGCGTGAATCAGCGTGAGTCATTTGGTTCATCCTTTTGTCGACCTTCACCCTTCTTGTCGGCCCACTCGTTCTGAAATCAGTATTTACAACAGCCTGAGTGATATATTGAAAAGATTCTGGCGCTCTAAGGGGCAAGGGGTTAGTTGCAGTGGAGAGGTAAATACATAAGGAGGACATCCATTTGGACTCTGAACGTTCGGAGAGCGTCACTGATTACGAGTGCTGTTTTTATTAATTAGCTGTGATTGATGGGTTTGATACAGCCGGGTTTTAAACTCTGCAACTCGGTTGAGACCGGCACCTTGGAAGCAACACGAAATGTGCTTTTGTTTTGATGTCAGTCAACGGTTTTGATCTATTATCATAGGCACGTGCTTGTCTTAGCGAGAACACGACCCGGTTGTGCAGTGTTAAGGATTAAGGTAGATCTCCGTTATAGATCAATTCATTTACCGTGCTTCCGTGAATAATTGCATCATCTGGCCAAATATTGATTTGGGCTTACCAGCTATGGAAGACGTCGTACTCGTAGAGTCATTCACTGATTTCTCATCATGTCGGTTTTATTTTAGAAAGCGACAAATTCCGAGCAATGAAACACTGTTCTTCGAGTTCATTGGTTAAGTGAAGCTTACTTTCGGCTTACAGAGAGCTACTTGCGGTTACCATTATCATTACTGCTTATACTGAGCAGCCAAAATAGCAGTTGTATGTATTGTCAAAATCTCTGTATTGTATTGTATTGTGTTGCAGGGTCACACAGTCGAAGTTCGCGTAAGAGGCGAGAAAGAAATTTATGAGGGGTTATTCTACACGTTATCGCCGGAGTTACAAATTGTCCTCGATGGGGTTCTTATAGATTCACCCGATAGGGAACGAAGTAGTCCCGACGGGCGTGGAGGTTTGCCATTAGATTCAGCAGCAGCAGCCGCACAGTCTGCTCCGGGACATCTCGCTGGTCTCGTCCGGAACATGGAACGGCTGAAAAATGCTGACCCCTCTCACCAGCCGCTCCAAGAAACTATGGTTTTTAGTCTACAGGACGTGATTAGCGTGACAGCGTATAATATCGACATGGACTACGCCACCAAAGGTAGGAGGATCCGTACTCGCATGGACCTACGTATATATACACAGCATGTGTTTCACCTTTGACCTGTGTTGGAGAATCGAGTTGAACCTAGTACTGAAAACACTAATAGATTATAGAATCATAACCCGTCTCAAAAATCCAAATTTCAGAAGTACATAAAGGACTATACTGTAAGCAGTGAGACGGGTGCAGATTCTTCAAATTTATGCAAAGCAGGTCTGTTAATATAATGCTCATTCTAAGTAAAAACGAGTAACGTTGTTATATTAAAAGATTTTGCTTAACGAATCGAATGTTTGCAGATAACGCTTTTACAGACGCCGCGATCTCACGAGGGGCAAATGGGCGTCCGATTGAGAGGGACTTGCAGGCCTGGATGGATGATGAGCCCGAAGGTAAATCGGTTGAAGAAGGCCAACTAGAAGATATGTCAGCGGCAACAAGCTGGGACCCTGAGGAAATGTTCAAAACAAACAAAAGCAAATTCGGCGTCGAAACGACGTATCGGGAAAATCTTGAAGGTTACACGTATCAGTACGAGCAACGGAACGATGATCCGGAGTTCCAACGGCGCGAAGCAGAGGCAGTACGAATCGCAATGGAAATTGAGTCAAATGTGCAGCATAAGCGCAACAATGAGTTGGAAATAGGTTGCGACGGAGACGATGAGGAGTTGAAGTACTCAGCTGTTGTCAAGGAATCGAAAAACGACTCTCGAAGTTCGTATGTACATTCTGGTGGCAGACGCAACAAACAAGGCGCTCCCAATGCTAATGGCGGTCAGTCTAAGGGAGGTTCTCAACAGCGTGGCGGAACTTCACATCCCACGCATCATACGTCGGGAAATCCAAATACACGTGGTGGACACACCCGTTTATCACCGACAAATTCACCAGCTCCGCATGTCCCACTGCCAGTGCTCCATCCAACGCAAGTAGTTGTTGCGGCAGCAGGCGGTGGTCAGCCAAGGCCACCACAGCCTATTAAAGATGAAGGTCGTAGAGGAACAAATGAGCGATCCTCACCTGCTGCGCGAACGTCACCACCACCAAAAGTACAACCAACGCAGCAGCAACAGCAACAACAACAGCAACAGCAGGAGAAATTGCAAGACAAGCAACGAGAGGATAAAGGACCTCCGCCTGCTGGAGTGGGTCATAACGCGTTACTAACTCAGCCTCCGACGCAGCAGCAGCAACAGCGGTCGACGCCACCGCCCTCGTTACAGCAACAGCAGCAGCATGTGGCTGCATCGGCGCATGTTCTCCATGAAGGCAAACGAACGCCTCCTTTGGCTACCATTACTGCCACCCCGTGCATTCCTGCGACTAGCAGCCAACCTCCGCAGGCCGGCCAGCAACAACCTTTGCAGTCTGCAGGCCAGCAACCGATGGGTGGAGCATCGGCCACATCTCCGGCCGAAGCTGTGAAAGCTGATAGTGTCACGTCAAACCAACAACCTCCACAAACGCCCTCGCCTGCTCCCGCGTCCCAGTCTACGTCGGCAGTCTCGACCAGCACCGACGAGATCGTCAAGAAGAGCACACTTAACCCCAACGCTGCAGAGTTTGTCTTCAATCCGAAAACAACTCACGTGACGCAAACGACAGTAACGCACAGTAAACAGAGTACACCGCCTGCACAGGTGATGCACGCTGGTGGGCATCCGGCACCCAATCGGCCCATTATGGTCCCGCAGCACCTAATCCTACCGGGCACACCCGTATTTTCAACGTTCCAGGCCCATTCACCAGGTCATGTACCACCGACGCATGGCCACGGTGGGGCTCACCAGCCTGGCGGAGCTGGAGCCCACCAAGGAGGACGGAATCATCAATATCGCGGAAATAAAGGTGGTAATAACCGACAAGCTGTGGATCAAACGACAATGCACGTCACGGGGGCGCCGCTTGTGACCGGAGGCCCACAGACGCATCAGCAGGTCGTTCTTGGGTGAGTTTACGCCATCATTTAATAACCGGCTTATTGAACTATATGCTACGAGCATATCTTTCTCTTCAGTTTTGTCGTGAGTCTTTCTAGTGCACGTTCATTTTACCATTTTACAGTGGCTTGTAACTATTGTTTTTGCGCTTCACGTACTGGTTTCACAAGCCCAATGGGGCCATTCAACAAGCCATTAGCAGTGAACCTGGACTCAATATTCGTTGAAGTATAGAGCCGTTCAGTATGGTTTCGAAGTAATAAAATCTAATGTATGTGGCTGATTGTCATTCATAACCGAGCCCAGATTAAGCACGTTCTACTGTTGTTTTTGGCTGCAGGTATCCACCTCCTCATTACGGGCCTGCACCGCCTGGAGGTGTTCCGCCGGTGACCGTGATGCAGCCTCAGATTGCTATGCAACACGGGCAGCAGGTTCAAGTACTAAATTACAACCAGATAGTCCAGACACGAGGTGTCATGTCCCCTCCCGCTGGTCCGGGCGTTGGCGGCGTAGGCTCCCCGTCTATGGTAGGACCTATCCACCAAGGAGAATATCCAGCGGCATTGCACATTGCTGGTCACCCGCAACAAGTGTTCCTGCGAGATCAACCTACGCAATTATTGTATCAGCAATTTGAGGGTGCACCAGGCCAGGCTCTCGCATTCGTTGTTCAACCTCAACCACCTGGTGGCGGGGGACAATCGGGTGCTCCTACACCTCCCACGGGTGGCGTAGGGGGTCCACATGGCGGACCTCACGGTCAGCAGCCGCTGTTGGCGTATCCTGGCCAGCCACAATGGGGACAGCCGATGCTACTAGCTATGAGCCCTATTAATCCATCGAGCGGAGCTCCTACGGGCACGCCGCCACCCCATCATGGGCCGCACATGAACATGGCGGTCATGCCGCCACTCGGTCCTCACAGTGGCCCCCATGGGCAACACGCTCCCACCCATGGACCGCCGTTTCCTCAAGCGGTCGTTCAGCCTGGGGTGCCGGTGCCTCCGAACGCAATGCCTGTGCAGCCTGGAGGATCCGTAGTGGGAGGGCCACCTTCGGCACCAGTTACCGGAGCTCCGACGGGCCAAAGCAATCAGCAGCAGCAGCCTCCAACTGGTGGCGCCCAGCAGGGTCCCCCGCCGCTTCCCGCCTCACAGCAGCCCCAACAGCCGCCACCACAGCCTCCAGGTAGCGTAGTTTAATTAATAAGTTATTCTTACGAACTCAATTAAATTATATTGTAAATTAAATTTGACAATCTCTAATGATGAGTGCTAAGTGGATTCTTGTTTAATTTTGCGGTGAACAGGTAGTAAGTAAAATAAGTAAGTGAAAATAAGTAGAAAAAATAAGTAGTTTCCTTTTGTATAATCTTCAATTGCTCAAATGGTGGCTGACGGGCTAAATCACAACGATTTCGATAAATATGTTGGGCGAAACATGCATATCTACGAGTGATTTTAAATAGAACAGTAGATTCAATCTCAAAAAGACACGCTTATTTATGTCACTGCTCCGGAACTTATATGCTGCAACAAAGGCAATCAAGAATTCTTCTGTGGCCTCCTGATATATTTAATGTTTTTTTCGTTAGATAATCTATCCGCTATCCACAAGTGTACATTTAGCCTGTACTGAGCACGACTAGTGTAATTACAATGCAGTATACACAATATAGATTTATTTGCGTCCACAATGAAAGCAACATGATAACATGTCAGTAACGTCTGAATTTAATTCGCCTTGCTCTCATTGCAGGAGTGTGACCGCTTGATTCGTACTAATAGAACTAGTAATAATCGTAGTAGTAGTGCTGGTAGTTAAACAACAGGAGGGAATCTGATGATCAATGGTGGTGAGTAAGAGCTGTTCAATGCTGTTAGATACTAGCACTGATAATGAGATGGAGGCTGTTGCAGGCTATTCGCGGTTGGTGGGGCGGAGCGAGTCGGGGAACGGAACAAAACAACAGCAACAGCAGCAGCAGCAGCAGCAACAAAATCGCCAGCAGTCGCTAAACCAACAGCAATAGCGGCCGCCGCCGCCGCGGCATCGAAAAGTGGGTTATACCATAACAACCTAAATATCAGTGTGGGAAGAAGCAAGCAACGCTCTCAGTTCTGTCATCTACTTGAAAGGTGTCCTCAACATCCGCCTCCAAGTCGGATTCCGACCCAGCTGGGAGCCTCAGCAAGGCTGCCTCGATGTGACACGGTGTATACTTGAGCATATATATATATATATATATATATATATATATATATATATATATATATATATATACCTAATCATCAGTAACAACAACAAGAAAACATCAAAAACATAGATTACATAGATTTTTAATAAGGAAGAAAAAAAGACGAGATCACTTTCGTTTGATCTATAGTTTTTGGTGGTTTTTTTTTCCTACACAACACTGAGACATCCGAGACAAATGTACTGAAATGAAAGCACGAGATCCGCCTGAAGTTGAGAAAATGCACAGAAGTAAAGACTCCTTCGCTTGTGTGTTCGGGGCAACAGCTTTAATTGCTGTCGCGTGATGACAAGAAGTACAACATAATGGAAGCACGGGGGTTATTGCCTTAACCGAGGTAAGTGGATCTGTAATCAACAATCAAGTCATGTGTTGTAAGATGTTCACTGAGCATTCGAACCTAACCTATGAAAGAAAGTAAAAACGAGAAGACAAGACGCGATAAACAGTTTGATGATAGTTAAATCCATCTGTCAACACCCAGAAGGATCTCGTGTATACCCTCGACTCAATCCCGTGTACAATATGAACATAAAACAATAGAGGGCTGAATGAGGCAAAAATCGAGAACAGAGTCCCAATTGCGAACTCGAATTCATGGCTAAACCTAAGTGGAAATTACAAACTGAAAGTGGTTATTTAATTGTGATGACTGTAATGATAATTAGAATAGCATTAATCACGAAAATACGGATTCTAAGTATACATATATATATATATATATATGATGGTGATGCTTGGCAAAAGGTCACGCGAATGTGTTTCGGGTAATGCTTTGGTTTGTCCAGCCAGCTGGCCACAGCCTCTTTTTTTCATTTCTGGCGGATGACGAATATGCTAAGCGTCGCTGCCGTGAACACGTCAGCTGCGGCCCAAGGAGAAATTCCTGTTCTCCTTATGAATAGAACAAGGAGACAAACACGAATAGTTGTAATGCTGCTACTACTAGCAGAGGAGCCGGTGGCTGGGCAGTAGAAGCAGACGTGAGACGTAAGATTGATGAGGGTTTAAAGTAGTGATGCGGGTGAAAAGGAGATTGATCAAAAGAAGGCGAACGAATCATAGAATAGACGTGTTGAAGAGATTCGTTACGGGAGCCGGTTACGGTACCGATCAGTGTAACATGTGCTCATGTGTACTCCTATCACTATGTTATTATAGGCTACGTACACGAACATGAGCAGGCGAGGGAAATCAACGTTAACAGCCCGTAGGGACATCTTACCACATAAATGGAACTACAGATAGAATAAAAACACACGCGCGCTTATAATTATAAGCAACTATACTACTTTGCAGAAACATAGGTGCGAAATTTGCAAAAAACACTCGGAAAAATGAGAGCACTACGGAAAAAGGCTCACATTGGCGTTGCAGTGGTAGAAGCAAAAACGATGAGGACAAAAACGTAGATACGTTAGCAATAAAAATCTATTTTTGTACGTACATAACAACTAAAACAGGAACAATGGAAAGAACGCGAAAACTCGAACCGGATTCAAGCAGACGCCGCGGTCCTAACAAAAAGGATGCGTTTTACTGGTTGACGACGAAAAAGTCAAGCAAAGATTATGATAACATTGCTGATATTGAGAAAATATAATAATTTGACACCACGGGACAGAAAATAGATTAAGAAGGTACCTAAACGGATTAAGCCGAGTTCGTTGTATAGTATGAATAGATGATAACAAAAGTGCGTACTGGGTGGCAGAGTTGGCCATGTATATGGTTGTTGAAATACCGCAGTAAAAATGTAGTGGGGCAGGTTAATAGCAGATGGGCAGATGAATGGGTCTGTGGCGGGCCCGTTGAGCATGCACATGGGGCTTTGGTTAAGTACAGCCCTCATTTTGAATCTTGAAATCAATAAATGCCTCATAATCGGGGCATGGCTAGAGAAAATGGAAAAGGGACGACTATGACCTGGTGTAACGCTTTTTTGTTTCAGCGTTGCGTTTTAGGCGATGAACGGGTAAAGTAGCGGGAGAAACAGTTATGATTGGTATGGCAGGCGGAGTCAACATTTTGTGCGTGGCATTATAGGCCACAGGCTCCGTTCCAGGGCCATTTAGCTTAGCCGACGCTCCGCCTCGCCACCTTATCAGTTAATTAAAGAAGTAACGAATTATTAGTATTATTCTTATTATTTATTATTATTGTATAGTTCTCATCAGTCTTGCCTGTACGATAACAACAACAACAATAAAAACATCTATTAAGAGAACGGGGGTAATATATGGTAAAAAGGAAACCGTGGATTGTCTAGGTGTGACTCTGATGAATGCTAATTATTCTAAAGATAGATTATACTATATAAATATTTATATTACTATAGTTATGATCAATATTTTTATCTAACATTTTATTATATAGTAAAAATGATTTATGGAAGCGGTAAGTGAAAGCAAATGTGGTATAATATGGGATAGAGATGATCATAATAATGATATTATTAATAGTATGCGAAAGATCTATCTATAAATATTTATCTACCTAAATGTGAGTAAATGTCGAGATATATATATATATATATATATATATATATATATATCCTTAAATGACGAAGCATAAAAGCTACTACGCCAGTGGAAAGGTACGATGATGATGCAGAAGATAGCCGGTTTGTATAGGATGTCAAACAAGTGAATGGCGGTTAAAAACTTGACATTTACCCAATTCGAGAACAACAACAATAATAATTAGGTTTACTAATAACAAGCAAGATTGCGGTTATATTATTAACTCTAGTATGATTGGCCCGAACTATACGCGATGATCATTACGAAGCCGTTGTATGTCCTACCAGGTGCCGTCCTCACATCCGCATACACACAGAATGCGAGCAACAAAGCTTCCTCTCTAGGGTTATCGCTTGTTAATAAAAGAGCAAACAAACAATTAGCCAATCTTAATGATAAAACGATACCTCGTATTCAGTGTAATGATGTAGTAAGATAACGAGGACAGCATGATGGCAGATACTGATACGATAATCGCTTATCAATCTCGCTGGGGAAAACAGAACAGTAAGTGAGCGTCAAATTAATGTATATATGATGATACTAGCAATGGTTGGCACATATTGAAGAAACGATCATTTTGTAATATAAGCTGTACATATAGGAAGAAGCTGTGCGCGAAGATGAAATATCGAGATAATAATGATTATGCTAGATAATGCCCATTTTTACACAAAGACACTTGGTATGCTAGTTACACACACACACACACACACACACACACATACACACACACACACCCGCAAACACACAAACACACACAGACACCCACACGCACTCGCACACACACATATGCACGGCACACAGAAAAGAGTACACACCACACAGACATCTTGCAAACAAAGAAACGCATAGTTAAAAATAGATAAGCTGAAATATTGTATATGGTAAATAATAGATGAGTGTCAAAGGTGGTTAGGAAAGACGTTGAGCTAAAAATAGCTAATGTGCATGGGTTGTTAGGACCCGGCAGTGGGAAAGAGAACAAAAAAGTCCTTTTTGATAAGTTTATAATCCAAGAAACAATTTATAGTCAAGTTCACACCGATCGGCAGGGAAGTTCATTGACAAAGACTACTTTACAACAGGTCGAAGCGGCTAATGGCATCTATCATTTATGTAATTATCTCGAACAGTTAATTAGTGTATGAGCTAACGGTGCAACATGTCGTATGAGCGGTACATAATATACAAGCAAAAGAAAAATAGAGCTAAATTTTCTTGTACAATTAAAGCGATAGTAAGCTAATACTCATAAGCGAAATCTACACGGTAATCAACGATTACTCTGCGTTTTATCTTTGTCGTATTTTTGCCTTCTCTGAAGACGCAGAGAACGAATACAGAAAAAACCAAATATTTGATCATACTTTAAAGCGGATTGCCCAGGTCTATTGACCGTTCCTAATTAAATTAAAACGTCTCTCATTTAGTTTAAGACGTAAATGAGTATGAAAAGCTATGGAAGTGAAAGGAAAGGAAAGGAGCATGACAAAAATATAAAGAAAATTAAGTTGTTACTATCGTATAATGTAGTAAACATTTAATTGGTCCAGTGATCGATTAAGAATAGATAAAGTAACTGAGCTAACGAGCGGGAAACATCGTTCATCTTAACGCTCTCTACCCACTACTGCTTTAGCGAAGCTCTTTACTTCAGCAGAGATGTAAACGAAGATGTAACAAACGCTAAGGGATACAGAAAACAATGTAAAGCTATTTATATTTCTATTATTTAAGGTGACGCACCAATAGATACACAAACACTGACAAACGAATTGGACAGTTAATGCCGTGAACACAGTTAGATATAATTGAAAGGGTCGCGACGCTGTTAACATAAAAAAGACATGGTCTTCATGTGTGGAAGGTAACTCGCGCGGGCTCCTCATTTTTCTATAGCTACTCCACAAAGGAAATAAACGCGTTAAAGAGGACAGCGAAATCATGTAGAGACTGATTGCTTACCAGAGCAGTTGCAATGATAATTGATGATTTCTCAGATAAGAGTACGGCGGTTGTCTTACGAAACGGGTTTATCGGTTCGTTCTGCATTTGCAATGGATTTTCTGCAGTTTAATTAAATAACGTTCGAATATACTTTAATTCGACTTGACTAAATGATACAATCAGAGAAATATATAAAAATATGAATTATCACTTTAAAATGTGGTACCGTTTCTTTGTTTGTAGAATTCGATGTGGAGACAGATACTCATTGGGTGGGCGTACAACAAGCTGACGACTAGCAAAGCAATTTCTTCTGCAAACCCAGCGGCAAGCGGTTCCCTTCCCAATTAAAAGATGTTTGTTCTTATCCATTCGAGGCTACATTGACTCTATTACAACATTTTCCGTAGTATAGCAGCTAGACGTAAACGGTCATCTCAATGTACACGTGTACAACCCTAATAGAAACGTAGATTATTAATCAAAAGAAGACAAATTACAGATCTATTTCTATGCTATCGGTAATTTTGCAGCCTTTTTCCGTTGTCAATTCGTAGTTGATTTA